TTAGGTAATGTAATTGTGATGTGCCTTGGTGTGTTCCTCCTTGGGTCCAACTTCTTTGGGACTCTCTGAGCTCCCTGGACTTCCTGAACATCTATTTCCTTTGCCAGATTGGGGAACTTTTCCTTTATTATTTGTTCAAATAACTTTTCCACTTGTTGCTCTTCCTCTTCTCCTTCTGGTACCCTTATAATTCAGATGATGGAATGTTTAAAGATGTCCTGGTGGTTTCTAAGCCTCTCCTCATTTCTTTGAAATCTTGTTTCTTCATTCTTTTCTGATTGGGTGTTTCTTTCTTCCTTCTGATCCACACCATTGATTTGAGTCCGAGTTTCCTTCCCACCACTATTGGTTCCCTGTACATTTTCCTTTACTTCACTTAGCATAGCCTTCATTTTTTTTAATCTAACTTGCAACCAAATTCAACCAATTCTGTGAGCATCCTGATTACCAGTGTTTTGAACTGTGCATCTGATAGGTTGGCTATCTCTTCCTCACTTAGTTGTATTTTTTCTGGAGCTTTGATCTGTTCTTTCATTTGGGCCACTTTTTTTGTCTTGACTTGACTGTTACGTAGTGAGGGGCGGAGCCTTGGGTATTCACCCAGGTGAGGCAACCCAGTCATTGTACTGTGACCCTGTATGTGGGGAAGGGGTATGAGAGGGAACAATGGTGCTCGCTCTGCTCTCTGCCAGATTTTAGTCACTTCCCCTGCTTCCCACCAGCAAACTGGGCCCTTCTGGTGCTGATTCCCAGGTGGGTGGGTTTGTGTATGTTCTAGGTAGGACCCTGTGGGCCTCTCCAACAAACTCTCCTGTGAGGCTGGGAGTTTCTCACACTGCCGCCTCAACTCCCACAGGTGTTTTCAATCCGTGGTTTGAGGCTTTATTTCTCTGTGCTGGGGCCCTGGGTTGCGCAGTCCATCCCGCTCCCCAGTTGTTCCTCCTGGTTTATCCGCATGCAAATTTGGGACTGCCCACTCCACCAGCTGCCACCCTGCTCACCTCAGTCCTCCAGCCACTGCCTTGCTGTGAGTCCTCTCTGCCCAGCTGTGAGTCTCCACCCCTCCTACAGTCTGGATGGATGTTTCTTCTTAATTCCTTGGTTGTCAGACTTCCATACAGTTTGATTTTCTGTCAGTTCTGGTTGTTTTTTCTTTTTAAATTGTTGTTGTCCTTCTTTTGGTTGTGCGAGTAGGCACAGTGTGTCTACCTATGCCTCCATCTTGGCCAGAAGTCCTAAATACTTAATAATGCTAACAATTTGCCTATGTATTATTTTGGATTTTCTACAACAGTGATATCATCTACAAATAATGAAAATTCTGTTAACTTCCAATATTTAAATATTTTCTTTTCCTTGAGTTATTGTGCTTAATAGGACCTCCAGTACAATGCTGAGTAGAAATGGTGACAGCAAGCATGCTTGCCACATTCCAAATGTCAAAGCTCTTAACATTTCACTTCTAACTATGTACTTTATTGTAAATTTGTGTAGGTATCCTTTATGGTAAGAACGTTTATTCAACTAACTTGCTAAGGTTCTTTAAATCATGAATAGATGTCAAATTTTATCTAACCCTTTCTCTACATCTATTGAGATAATTGTTTTTTCTCATTTAATTTGCTAACGGGGCAAATTATGCTGATTGAGTTCAAATGTTAAACCACAATTCAGTTTTGGAATAAATCCAATTTGGTCATATTATACTTTCTTAATATACACATGGTCTCCAAATTACAATGGTTTGACTTATAATTTTTCAACTTTACAATGATGTAAAAGTGATACACATTTAATAGAAACCATTCCCCAGACTAGTGATATGCAGCACAATACTCTCTTGTGATTCTGGGCAGCAGCAGTGAGTTGAAGCTCCCAGTCAGCTACAAAATCACAAGAATAAACAACCAATAGGCTACAGTGTTTTGTGTTGCCATCATTTTTTGGATATTGTGTTTTGTGTTTTCATATCCCATCATGTCTACAAAATACCCATGTGTGTCTTGTTTCTGGTGAGAAGAGGAAGGCAATTACTTTTGAGGTGAAACTCAAGATAATTGCCCAACTGCAGGCTAATGCAAGTGTTCTGGTCACATTTAAGGTAGGATGGGTTAAGCCATATTTGGTAGGTTATGATACTTTCAACTTATGATGGATTTATTGGGAGGTAACCCTATTATAAGTAAAAGAGTATCTGTATTGGACTTAGGCAATGCTATAGACTAATGTTCCTATCCCTTCAAAAACCTAGTCACTAATGTGATAATATTAGGAGGTGAAGCCTTTGGGAGGTGATTAGGTCATGAGGGTATAGCCCTCGTGAATGGGATCAGTCCCTTTACAAAAGAGACTCCAGAGACTGACCTTCTCCCCTCATTCTGTGAGGACACAGTGCGAAGTCTATGGACCACTAAGATGGCTCTCACAATACACCAAAATTGCCGGCACCTTATCTTGACTTCCAAGCCTCAGAAACTGTGAGAAATAAATGTTTGTTGTTTATTAGCCATGTAGTCTATGTTATTTTGTTATAGCAGCCTGAATGGACTCAGACAGGCAGTTATCACTTGGTTTAAAATATTTGCATTGCCCTGGCTGGCTTAGCTCAGTGGATTGAGCGCGGGCTGTGAAGCAAAGCATCGCAGGTTCGATTCCCAGTCAGGGCACATGCCTGGGTTGCAGGCCACGGCCCCCAGCAGCCGCATATTGATGTCTCTCTCTCTCTTTCTCCCTCCCTTCCCTCTCTAAAAATAAATAAATAAAATCTTTAAAAAAAAACCTTCCATAACTAGGTAGGTGGTGGCTCTTTCCTTTAAAAAAAATATTTGCATCTATTTTCTTGAGATTATTCGGTAGTATTTGTTTTTCACTCATCAGGTTTTAGTGTCAAGTTTATATCAGCCCCATAAAACGAATTAGGAATGCTCCTTTTCTACACTCTGCTTGTGTAAAATTGTAATTACTTGTTCCTTGAGTGCTTCATCAGCAAACCCATCTGAGCCCAGAGTTTCTGTATGGAAAGCTCTTTTTAAAAAAAAATTTATTGTTGTTCAAGTACAGTTGTCTTCATTTTCCCCACTCCACTCTCCCCCCACCCCAGCCATCCCCACCTCCCTTCCCTGATCCTCCCCAGCTTGATTTTGTCCATTTGTCCTTTATAGCTGTTCCTGAAAACCCTTCACCCTTTTCCCCCCATTATCCCCTCCCACCTCCCCTCTGGTTACTGTCAGTTTGTTCTTAATTTCAATGTCCCTGGTTATATTTTGCTTGCTTGTTTGTTTTGTTGACTAGGTTCCACTTAAAGGTGAAATCATATGGTATTTGTCTTTCATTGCCTAGCTTATTTCACTTAGCATAATGCTCTCCAGATCCATCCATGCTGTCGCAAAGGGTAGGAGCTCCTTCTTTCTTTCTGCTGTGTAGTATTCCATTGTGTCAATGTACCATAGTTTTTTGATCCATTCATTTACTGATGGGCACTGAGGTTGCTTCCAGGACTGGGCTATTGTAAATTGTGCTGCTATGAACATTGGGGTGCATAGGTTCTTTTGAATTGGTGTTTCAGGGTTCTTAGGGTATAATCCCAGGAGTGGAATTGCCAGGGCAACAGGCAGTTCCATTTTTAGTTTTATGAGGAAATTATATGGAAAGCTCTTTGGCTACAGCTTCTGTTACTTAACAGACCTACTCAAGATTACCCTTTTTTCTGGACAATTCTGGCAAGATTTGTGTCTGTAGTAATTTCTCCATTTTGTCTAATTTCTCAATGCAATTAGCATAAAGTTGCCTTTTTGAACATTGATCAAATTACCACATTAATGGAAGAACACCAATACATCTCTGGAGTTTGATATTTGACAAGTCAGAATCTCCTCATTGAAAGATAGGTGAAATATGGGAGTGCTGATTTTGTTTTCACTAGCTGTTTTCCATTTCCAGACCTCTACAATGCCATTCCCTCTAACTGGACTGCCCTCTCTCTTCCCCTTTATTACTTGGTGGATTCTTCCTCATTTTTTAAAATTCAGCTTGGGCACCATGTCCTCTAAGGCTTCCAGAGTCCCCACACTAGACTAAGTATCTGTCCTTAGGCCTTCACAGCCCACTGTTAGTTCATTAACATCTGTTAATCACACTCCACTGAAATTCTTTCTGTGTCTGTCTCCCCCATATACTGTGAGCTCCTTCATGTGTCTTAAGAGCAGAGCAGAGGCAGTCAGTCAATATTTGCAGAACTGAATTGAGCTTATAACCACTGAATGACCAACTAAGTTCTCTAATCATATCTTTATATTTCCTCACATATATTCATTTGTTCCTTAATTTACTTAATTCAATGGGTATTTGAGCACCCATTATGTGCCAAAAATTCTTCTAGAAGAGCGGCTGGCGAGCAAAGAGGAAAACTAGGAGAGTGTGGTGTCCCAGAAACCAAGGATTTCAGAGTTTTTAATTGACATGTAGTAAATATATCAATCCTTTCTTTCAAAGCTTCTGGGTCTCCTGTTTTGAGTTAGAAATGCAATGTCTGTGGATAGCAACTCTGGTATGAATTTTTCACTCCTCTGTCTTTTCTGAGCCTTTCCCAATCCTGGGGACAGAGAAGTCTCCCTGCTGGTGTAAAAGGCTTTTTTTTTTTAAGTAACTTAAAAACTTTGTGACTGATTCACAACCAATATCCCACACCCACAGCTGACCACATCCACCACTGCAGCCACGTGTGACCTAAAACCATTATGTGGCTGCCACTCTTCCTCCCTCCTTGACAGAATGTGGAAATGACCAAAGTACCTACCCCCCAGAGACCATCAGACCACATGTATTAGGACAACAAGGTAAGTCAAGGACACACTGAAGCAGCAGCAGCAGACATGACCACATCCCATGTCCCACTCCCCACTGTAGTCTTCCCATATGACCACCCTGCACACTCATTCCTGAACAGAACACTACACAGCAAGACACATCATTTCTCATAGAGCTCTATTGTGGCATATAATAATAGGTACTCTATATAAATTAAATTAAAAATAAAGCTCCAGCAGGTTGCACAGGTTGGCTGTTAATAAATATATCTCTGGGTAATTGTGCCCCAAGACCAGCTCATGACCACTCTCCCTCATCCAGAGAATTATACAAAAATAAATACAGGCTCGGGGGGGGGGGGAGCAGGGAGAAGGGAGGACATGCCCAGTTCCATTCTGAAAGTTGTCATTTTCACTATCCACCCATCCCCTGTTCCATTCCATTAGTATCACCACAGGAGCCCTGTGCTAACTAGAGAGCTCAGGGACAAGGAGGATTTTCTCCAATCGAGCATTCTCAGAAGCAAAGGACCCCCTCACTGTACAGGCCACACGTGCCATCTGAACCCTCTGGGGTGGTACAGGGGCCATCCCTCCCCAGACCCAAGAGGGGATGCTTGTTATTAATGGTCCCACAAGCAGCTCCTATGAGAACCAGGCCAGAGAGAGGCACAGAGCAAGCACCAGGAGAGACATACCACTGTTCAGAGCCACAGGGACCACTACCAGGCCAGCCAGGACCCCCAGAGTCTGGGTCAAGGGCCCCCAGAGCTGGGGAGGCAAAGTACACACACATTCCGCAGGGACTGTTAGGGTAGGAGACCTCTTTGGGGACTCAGGTCTTCGGCTTGAACCCTCTTTATGCTGGGAGTTTACTTGGGGCCTGGCCAGGCTAAAAGGGCAGATTTCAGCCTCCGAGTTACCAAGGAGAGTGAGATTTTGCCCCTGCAGGGCTGGAACCCCTGGCTCCTTGCCAGATATAGGAACCAAGCTGTCTGCTCCCTCAGTGGTGAACTCCATCCCAGCTTCTGTCCCTCCTGAGAACCCTGTCACCCCAGATATCACCCTATTCATGTGCAAAGAGTCAGTGTCCTTGCATATTCCCTCTTCTGGAGCCCCAATGAACTGACCCTCTGTACCCAGAACCACAGGATTGTCACATCCGGAGCCCCCTGCCCATGGAAGCCATACACCTCCCATAGTGGCTACCATGGAATGGGCCCCAGAGAGAATTTCTGGAGGCGATTCCTTGGGGGTGTCCCCTTCTGGACTGGAGGGTATCATAGAGAGCCCCTCTTCACCCTCCCCCTCTTCATCAGGGTCCTCGGTGTCCTTGATGAGCTCTACCCCACACCCCAGCCGGGCATAGTGCAGTGTGATCTCCTCCGCCAGGGCACTGTTCAGGGCCCGCTCAGGGCCAGGCCACTTCAAGATCAGGTCGCGGTCCGTGAGTATGCCCAGGGGATGGCTGGGGGACACCCCTCCATCTGTGGAGCCCTCCCCACTACTTCCTGCCCCACCTGCAGCCACAGCAGCCCGCAGGCGACTCAAGTGGGACAAATAGAGCTGCTCCAGCTCCTGATCAATGGTGTCCTCACCAAGCAGCTCCTCCAACCCACTCATGACCTCCAAACCCCCAGAGGGCTCGTCCATAATAGCCCCTACCATGGGGTCCTTTCGGCCCCCTCCATTCTCACTTGATACTTCCCATACAGCCTCCACCTGTTGCTGACTAGATTCGAGGAGAGGCCCAGCTGCCCCCTCACTTGCATCCGGCCCTGAGGCCTGGTCCCTGGGGGAGCGACCCATGCCACAGAGAAAGGAAGGAGGAATCCTGATGACAGGTGGCTGGGGAACCTCTCTGAAAGCCACAGGCAGATTTCTTCCAGGGATGTCACCTTCCTCTGGGGATTTGCCAGTCACTGTAACTTCAGAAACCTGGAGCCATGGTGTGGGGAGGGTACAGGAGGGGAGAGAAAGGGAAGGAAATGAAGCAGAGGAGGGAATGAAACAACAATAGATGGTAAGAACTGGTAACAGCCCACACCCAGCCCCACAGGTGCTTCCAGATTTCTTTTAAAACTCCTTAAAGAGACTTCTGTAATTCTCTAAATTCCAAACACTGTGTCATCTATATTGAAATAACAAAATTGGATGAAGTAAAAGGGGGATTCCTCCAGATCATAAAGCTGAGTTGAATGACTGTCAGTAAATACTGTTGGTTGGCTTCCAAAACATATCTAAAATATCCACATGAATTTATTTTTTCTTTAAAAAAAATTATTCCCTACCCTTGCTGGTATAGCTCAGTGGATTGAGCACAGGCTGCGAACCAAAGGGTCACTGGTTTGATTCCCAGTCAGGGCACATGCCTGGGTTGTGATTCAGGTCCCCAGTGGGGGCCATGTGAGAAGCAACCACACATTGATGGTTCACTCCCTCTCTTTTTCTCTCCCTTCCCCTCTCTCTAAAAAATAAAAATAAATAAATAAAACCTTTGATTTTTTTTTAATTTAAAAAATAAAACAATTATTCCCTAGCTCTGTCTTTTGACAAGGCCTAGAAACAATGACCAACCTAGTAGCAACATCTGGTACTCGGATCTAAATACCATTCTCCACTAAAAGGAACCAGGGCTCCTTAAATAAATGGCTGTTTCCAAGTTTGGGGCAGGTAAAGTACCAGATGAGTCTGGGACATACTGCCATACCAGAATGTGAAGAAGTGCTCAAAAAAATGTTACAAGTACATGTAAAAAGGACTCTGGAGCCGATCTAAACAAGCTTTCAGTGGCCAGAGGCAGTTCAAATTAAGCATCAAAAAATAAGGGCAATGGATTGCAACTCATTAAATATGTTTAAAATTCATGGGTTAATAATGACATACGAAAACCAAAAATCCTTTATTTTTGGTCACCTTTGGAGAATTTGATTTACTCTGGAAACTGATAAACAAAAAGGGAAAAATTAAGTATTTATACATCTTTTTCTATACAAACTATGTACCTTCAAGGTACACACTTCAAGGTAGCCAGACAATTGATGTGAGAAAGTTTTTCTTTAGAGAAGAATTCCAACTAATAAATGAAGTGGAGATAAGAGAATAAACAGAATCAATGCTATTTAAATGAATAAATAGATTATATAGATTATTTAAATAGATTATATCTATTAATTTAATAAAATACCTTGATAAATTAATTAAATGTAATGATACATCAGAATTAAACTGACTTAATAAATTAATAAAAATTTAAGTAAGAAATGTGTTTCTACATGGATGCAATCAGCCAAATACAGACTGTGGGAAATTCAACAGGACAAACAAGCTTTCTTGAACAAGCAAATAGCAAGAAAAGTGAGGGAGATTTAAAAATCTAAAATGATCCATCAACCAAATGCAATGTGTTGACATTGTTTGGGTCCTAAAAGGCTTATGAGATAAGGAAATTTGAACACTGACCAAATATTTGATGGTACTAAGGAATTACTGTTAATTTTCTGAAGTGTGATGATGGCATTGTGTTTTTTAAGACTTATTAATTGTATGAGACACAAACAGAAGTATTTATGGATTGGATAATGTCTGGATTTTTTTCTACAGTCTACTTCCCTCACAGCAGCCAGAGGGAGCCTGTTAAATCCTAAATCAGATTATGGCCCTTCCCAGCTCATGACCCTCTCGTGACTTCCTCCCCACTCAGAGTAGAAGCAGAAGTCTTCCCCATGGTCCATGAGGCCCTATACAATCTGTCCCTATAATCTTTCCAGCCTCACTTCCTCCCGCTCCCTCTCACTCACTGCTCCTTGCTGTTCCTCACACACATTAGTCATGGCATTGCTCCAGGACTTTGCATTTGCATGGGATGTTCTTACCCTAGTTATCCACATGGCTCACTCTCTCACTTTCTTCAGATCTTTGCTCAAATCTCACTTACCACTAAGGCCTTCCCTGGCCACTCTAAAATCTAAAGTTGCAAACTTGTCATATACATACCCACTACGTTCTCTCACTCTCTTTCTCCCTCCCTCCCTCCCTCTCCCTTTTTTTCTTTAGCACTCATCATCATCTAAAACACCATGTATTTTGCTGTTTTCTGTTATGTTATGGCTCTCTCCACTGAAATGTAAGGAAGTCCCTTGATGATAGCATTTTTAGTTGCTACCATATTCCTACCATCCCTAACAGCACTTTGCACAGAGCAAGCATTCAATATATATTTGGGGATGACATTAGGATAAGCCCAGGTAAATAACTGCATTCTATACCTCCACCTTAAAGTTCTGATTTAGGGGATCTCCCTCCAACCTAGGGTGAACCCAGAGCAAGTCAGCACTCACCACCCAGCCTCCCATCAAGCTGTCTATACAGAGGCTTCCAGGTCCTGCTTACCTGAATTGTCATCTGTGGCCATGGACGGAGAGGGGTGGGGGCCACAAGGGGACCCACTGACTCCTGGACATCAGGATGCTCTGCTGAAGAGAAGGGCAGAGTTGGGGTAAAGCAGGTGTACAAGCAGGTCTGGTTTGGTTAAGAAAATTTGTTCTAGCCCTGGCTGGTGTGGCTCAGTAGATTGAGCGCTGACCTGCGAACCACAGGGTCGCAGGTTTGGTTCCCAGTCAGGCATATGCCTGGATTGCAGGCCAAGCCCCCAGTAGGGGGCGCACAAGAGGCAACCACACATTGATGTTTCTCTCCCTCTCTTTCTCTCTCCCTTTCCCTCTGTCTAAAAATAAAATAAATAAAATATTTTTTTAAAAAAAGAAAATTTGTTCTAGCCAATGGGCAGTTTTGCCTCTGAAGCTTTCTGTGACAATCTAAGGCAAAGGTGCCTCTTAATTTGTATAGAAAGGAAAGGTGGAGGAAGAAATAGTAAATATAAGCTAAAACTCCTACCACCTGCCAATTGCTTACCCGCAGCAGGGGTATTATCATCCATGTTCTTCATCCTCAGCTCTTCCTCGTTAGGCCTGTGGGGCAGAGGAGAGAATGCATAGATCTGACACCCTGAGAAGCCAGTTCTGCCATCCACCAGCAACTTCTGAGCCTGACATCTGCTGTTTTCTCTTCTGCCACCTCCTTCTTTCTGTATTATAAAAGTCCTACATGCTCATTGTAAAAAAATTACAAAATACAGGAAAGCATAAAGCAATAAAAAGTGACATTAGCCAGAGGCACCCACCATTACCATTTTGGAAATTTTCATTCCAGACATTCTATGAAAGTGTTTAGATTCTGCAGATATAATTTCACAGCTGGTTTTATCCATTTAACAGTAACAAGCACCATTATATACTTCTGTAAACATTTGAAATGGCCGCTTCCTACTCCTGTTATATGGACTCGCCATAAGGTAAGTAACCATTCCCATCCTACTCAGCAGCTAGGTTGTTTCCTCCGTTTCACTCTCAGAAAGCAGGCTTCAGCAGAAATTGTTGGATATAGCTTTATGAACAACTTGGATCATTTCTTTAGGGTATCTTCCTGGCTATGGAGGAACCCATCTTTTCCAAGAAAGGGCAGGTGAGGACTGTGGGGCTCAAGAAGCAGCAAAAGGGAGAAAGTGCCTGGAGAATGAGACAGAGGTCAGCAGAAAAGGAAGTAACCCAGGGTCATAGAGTCCTGGGTCCCATTACCAACCCTCCACCCATCGCCTGGCAAGGCACCTAACCTCCCTGAGCCTCACCCCCTCACCTTAAAACAGAGCACAGGGGATCCAGGATGAGCACACCAAGCACAGGGCAGTCAAGAGAAATGAGGACACAAAGTCAGACACCAGTGCCTGGCACAGATGAGAAGCTGAATCACCCGTAGATATTTGTTGGTCTTGATCCTCCTTCACCAGGCAAATCAAACCCAAAAGGCTGAGTGGCATAAGCCAAGTGTATTTCAGCAGTCCCTGCCAGGGATGCAGTCCTGAGGATCACCGGGAAATCACTGTTCTGATTCTCACCAATGAGTATCAAATGCTTAGAGATTAAGGCAGTGAGGGAAACATTAGCTGAAATGTGCAGAGATCTGACGTGAGTTCAGGTAACTTGATGATGTTGACATTTCTGAAAATGGTTGCAATTTTTTTGAAAACACATAATCACAATTACCTTTACAGAAACAGAATATCACAGTAGTTACTACGGTGTTAGGCAATGTGCTAAGTGTTCCACACATACTATTAGTTAAATCCTCACAGCAACCCTGAGATAGGCACTTTTAATCCTCTGAAGTAGGCAGTGTTTTTTTTAAGGTTTTATTGTTTTATTTTTATAGAGAGGGGGAGGGAGGAAGAGAGGGAGCAAAAAAATCAATCAGTTGCCCTGCCCACATGCCCCAAAGGGGGCCCAAACCCACAACCTAGGCAGGCACCCCAATCAGAAATTGAACTTGTGACCTTTCGCTTTGTGGAATGACACTCAACTAACTGAGCCATACCAGTCAGGGCCCAAATAGGCAGCATTATTATTATCTTAAGGATGATGAAATGGAAGCTGAGTAAATGGCTCAAGGTCAGCAGCAAGGATCAAAACCCAGGCCTTTCTTCTAAGTCTGCTCTCAACCAACAAACTGCTGCTACTTGGATGAGGGAGACTGAGGTCTCACTCCAACCCCATCTCTATTCCTTTCCAGGAGCAGATCAAGGGAGACAGCAATAATAGACAAGATCCCTACCTCCTACTTCTTTCATGTTTTTCTTTAGACCTGCCTTTTGCCCACATATTCATTCCCAACTTCCCTGTCTTCATGGGACATGTGGCTAGGAAACCACCAGATACAGAAGCAACTGCAAGAATTGCTTTTTATTAGCACCCTCAGGGAAGAAACTTTAACTGTATACTTGGATCTAGAGTCTAGAAGCTCCAGAGGAACCATCTGTCTTTCTCCATGAACCAGGGCTTATTTGCCCCACCAGAGGTCTTTGGATGAGAACACTACAGGACCTGGAGTGGGTGATACCAGAAGCCCAGCCATCAACTCCTCCCCATCATGGATAAGAAAGATTTCAAAGCAAAGCAGCTTGGAACTGCACCAGTCCCCTCAGTGGCTCTAAAATCCATATCTTCGGATTTTTTGGCCCAACACAACTTCTGCTAACTTTTTTTGCTGGTGAAGTCTTTTATTTAAAAAAAAGTCATCTTCCTAGATCTTCTACAGCAAACCTCTTCAAGAAGACCCACAAAGAGACAGAAAGGCAGCCCTTCCTCCCAGGGGCAGGACTATGCAAGTTGTCCCCTGCCATCTGGCCCATAACTGACATACATGACAACCAGGCTTTTAAAGCCACTGCAGTGTCCTAGATGTATATGAAAGAGAAAGAGGTGGAGATTCAGGACAGAACCAACCAGCAAGAAAAGAACTCCACAGTTCACTTAAGAAAGAAGAGAGAAGTAAAACACACACAAAACAAATCCTCCAGCCCCCAAACCATCTCTTCTATAGCCAAGGAGGGTAAGAACAGGGGCAACATCCAAATATCAGGTCAAGCAATTCAGTCAGCCCCAAGATCCATGAAGTCAGCAAAAGTACACAGGTCACTCTACCTCTGAAGTCAGAGAAAAACAGGAGGCAAAAGCACTTATTGTTCACCTCCTTCCCAAGGGCCATTTTCATTGATACACCAAATCATTTGAAAACCTTCATTCACATCTATCTTTCAAAGCAACACCCTTCCCTTTCTACAAATAAAAAAAAAAAAGTGAGGCTCAAGAAACTATGCCTCTACATTCACTAACTACACGCCGCACTGACAGTACCCAAAGAGGGCTCCATTTTAAAGACAGTATTTGAAACTCTGACCTTAAAAAAAAGGAAAACCTAAATATCCTTGAACTGTCTTTCACAGTAAACATTCAAGGACAACTACGACTCCAATCAAAAGGAGGATGATGAGAGAAATGGAGTACCAATGTATACTGACTCACTCATCAGTAACAGAGAAGAAGTGTTCTTAGAAAAATGGAGAGGGAAAAGATTAAGAACAAAACTGTACCCCAGTGTGCTTACTAATTTTTGAGAAGGAAACCTGCTCTTTTGGCACCAGCCTCATTAATGCCACATGGTTATCTCAAGGGCAATAGGTAATAGTGGGCTGGAACACATAGGCCTAGGGATATTTTGGACACAGATCCTTTAGTTGTTCATGAGAATCAAGACTGTAGCCTAGAAGGGGCCAGTGACCTGGGCATGAAAATTCTTCCTGCCATTAGAAAACTCAATGGTTGCTGACCTCAGGTGACACCCAGAGAAACCAGGGGTTGAGATTTCAGAAAGAGGTGCCATCAGCTCCAGCCTAGGCCAGCCAAAACAGAAAAAAAAGTGAACCTCCAGAGTGAGTGAGCGAGGGCTGACAACCCCCATGGGAAAAGAGCAAAGCAGACTTTCAGAGCACTCCCATCACTGCCATCACCACCGCCCATGTCCTCCGTGAGCACCCCCAACACTCATGTTTTCAAAGAACTTGGCCAGCCCAAAGTAGGTCATGCAATAAAACCCAAAGGAAAACTCAGCAGACCCCAGCTCTCGTGCAGTCAACCTGAAGATAAGGCTGACTATGGGGGGTGGGGGATAAGACAGGTGGCTTCAGAATTCAGAAACCTGCCCTTTGATACTTGGAATCCCAGTTACCCTGAGCCATCTGCTTTCTGAAGAGCATTTGAAGGTACCTGTGAAAGCCACCAAGTTATGTGGGGCATTGCTCTTTCCCAGCTACTTTGTGTCAGTGTCAATCTGGGACTTAGGGACAATCGAGCAGGGTGGAAGGAAGAGAGTTTATTGTGCCATGAGCTTCTTTTACAGTGGTAACTTCATTCATTTGACTGTGACCCATAGTCAGAAATACATTGTACATCATAATCCAGCACACCCCATGCATGTGTGAACACATATTCATACTTAACTGAGAAACACTTACCTTTAGCACATTGTGATGCACTGATTATTCCCTATGCTATTTTTTAAGTGTTTGTTGGAATCTAGTAAATTGATTTCACATCTTAACCAAGGGTCATGACATGTAATTTTGAATAAACTTGGCTCTGCCATCTACCAGCTGTGTGACCTAAACCTCTGTATGCCTCAGTTTCTTCATCTGCAAAGAGGGAAGAATAGTAATACCCACCTCAGAGAGCTAGATTGAGGAGATACGGGAAAATTGCCTATGAAGTGCTTAACAGTAATCCCCTCCATATTCCCACTGAGGGAAACTGAGGCTCTGAAAAGGAAAGTAACTTGCCCAGCATTGCTTAGCTGGTAAGACACATCACGTAACCTGATACAGCAGTTAAAAACTGGGCCACTAGAGCAGAACTGCCCCAGCACAGAATGCAGCTCTGCCACTTTCATACATGTGGCCTCTCAGTCACACATCCTTGACCATGTTGCCCTACTAGTTTTCTGTGGAATAAAAGAGGATCACTTTTACACTAAGTCCTCACTCTCCAGACAACTAAAGATCACCCCTGGCCCATCCTGTTTTGACTTTGATTGTTCTGGTTTCCCCTAAGGCTACCAACTTGGTAAGTAGGTTGGGTTCCCATCCATTCAGTACAGGTGCACCTAAAAAATCATTGAGGCCTTACTGTGCATCCGCCCAGTGACAGATCCTGGAGACACAATGGTGAACAAATCAGACTAGGAAGCTTACAATTTACTGTGAAGGAAGACATAAAAAAATACTCACACTCATTCTTTCAACAAACATTTATTGAGTACCTGTTAAGTGCCAGGCACCATGGCAGGCCCTGCAGGAATACAGAGGTGAATAAAAGCAGACCATGTCCCTACCCCTCACGGAGCTTACAGTCTAGCAGGGCAGACAGGGTCATCCAATAATCCCCTAATGAAGGTCTAACTACAAACTGAGGTCAGTGCCTTCTGAAAAGGAAAGAATATCCTAGAACAAGGTGGCCCTGGCCCACACTACAGGTCAGGAAGAGCTTAGGATGCTTAGAAGGAAAACAAGCAAAGGAGGGGTAGGGGAGTGAAAAGCTGTTCAGAACACTTTGCAGGAAGTAATGGATTTAATCTTGAACAGGAGAAGTTTGACGCATCTTTGTAACATCAGCCAAATGGAGACACTGAGTTTGAATATAGGAAGCTAAAAGAAAGGGCAAGGAGAAAGAGGAGGATCCGGGAGTTAAGAGGAAAAGCTGCAGAGTGTGGTCCCAAAGCAAGGGAATAAAAGCGTTTTAAATAGGAGTGCTCAGCCACTTCAAGAAGAAAACCAAAAACCTGCCTATGAAATATGAGGTGCAGTGGGCTGAAGCAAATGGAAAAGTGTAGGCATCTCTTTAGAGGGGAGTCAGAAATGAAGGGGAGGATGATTAGGTGCTGGCCAGGAGAAGTGTAAACAGAGGTGGGATCAAAGCACAGATTTTTAAGGCAGTAGAGATGCTGGCATATACAAAGGCCAATAGAGGATCGGGTGAGGAGAGCAGTGAAAAGCTGCTAGGAAAGAAATAGAAACTGATTATGTCAGGTTCTGGAGCAAATGGAAGAGAATGAAACCCAGAGCACGAGTGGAGGAATTGGCCCGAGGAAAGAAAAAGCCCCCTCCTACCCTGTAACACAAAGGAGAGAAATCAGTTTGGAGGCATGGGGTTTGCAAGTTGTGGGGAGTTCCACTCTTATGGCTTCTATTTGTTTTCTTTGTATTTTTTTTTTTTTGAAGCAGGAAGTAAAAGTCTGAAGGTAAAGAACATTTGAAAGAAACACATCATGGAGGCAACAAGAATGGATCATAAAAATAGGACTGCTGGGCAGGGTGGGAAATGATCCTGAATTTGTGATGATGTCCATCTGCTCTACTACACAACAATCTCTAACAGGGCTCACCTGCTTGGCTGATGGGTGCTATGAAAAAAACCCGGGCCAGAGGACATCGGAATAAACAGGATTCCCAGAAGAAGTACTCTTAGAACTGAAGGATCAAAACAAGGAGACTTCAATGGGCACAGGACCAACATTCCTGGTGACTAAAGCAGCATGGGCAAAGGCCCTGATGCAGGAAGGGGTAAGGATCCTTGGAAAGATCATGGTGATAGGAGCTCAGAAGGCAGAGGGAAGCATGAGATGAGACTAGCAGCCAGAGACTGGATTGGGGGAGAGGGAAGGAGGTACATGAAGGCCATGCTGAGGCTTCCTTGGTCTTTGTTTTTAAGAATAGGATACCTCCTTAGGGTGTTAAACCGAGGCAGACCAGGAGGACTCCTCCCCACACCAACCCTGGGTCTTTGGACTTGGGGAACCTCAGTTTGCTGAGGAAAAAAAAAAAAGAGATAAACCAGTCTATCTCATACCAGAATGTTGAAAGGATTAGATGACACTTTGCATGCAAATAGCCAAGTGCCTAGACATGTTCCAGGTCTCAAATGGCAAGCCCTCTGTACCTGTCCCTTTCCACCCAGTTCCACCACAAGCCCTCTAACACCTCAGTGCCAGTCTGCATCTTTATCCTTGTATGAACCTAGGACTGTGCCCAGCACATAGTAGGCCCTCAATAAATGCTTGCTGATGGATCACCTCTAAGCCAAGTGTTAATCAAAAGCCTGGTCAAGCAACTCAGGGAATGCAGCCATTTCTGTTTCTGAGCTATATTTCAATGGCTACCATCAACTTCTCCCGTGTTTCCCTGTGGCTGCACCTGGTGCACAGTGGGCCTGCAACCATCATTTCCTGAATGGAAAGACCTCTATGATAGGACTCCAGCAGGTTAAGGCTATCTTCTGAGATCCTCCACCATTTCCAAGAGGACTGAGTCTCAGGGGGGCAGCTGTTCTTCAACAGCGCTCCAACTCATCGGTAGCACATAGGTTTTTAAACAATAATAAGTTGAAATGTACTCACCAAGAAAGCCACCGACCTACAAAGAAAATCTTATCGCTGATCTTGCAATGAGCACCAACCTCCCTTTGCAAGAGCTGAGATCAAAAGATAAAGAAGCTATCAAAAAGCCATCTGCCCACTTAAAATAATATCACAAGTCATGTTAGGAACCACAGACCTGGGGCCAGATACCAAAACAATTGTCTGAACGGGCTGTTTCAATTTCTCCTTAAAACCACCCATGTATTTTAAAAGAAAAACACCCTCTCCACCCACCTTGGCCCTGCGAGCTTTTGATTTCTCTGTTCCCTTCCTTTCACACTCTAAAATGACCAAACTCCATTACCCAAACTGTTGCGTCTTACAGACAGGGCTCCCACGACACCCAGCTGGGATGACGACTTGGGAAAAGGTGATTCTTGGATCTGGTGGTGGTTACAAAAGGGCACAGATATGTAAAAATCCACTGAGCCCTACACTTAAATTCAGTACACTTTATGTAGCTATTCCTCAATGAAGAAAAAAACAAACAAATAACAACAACAACAAAAAACAGAAGAGCAAAGCATAACATGCCAGGAACACCAGGAGCTAAATGCACAATTTGCCCTGAATCCTACCAGGCCTTCAAAGGGAACCATTTAAAAAAATTTGCCCCTGGTTCCATCACTCACTAGCTGAGTGAAACTGAATGAACTGGCTTACCTCTCTGAGCTACCTCTTTCCCCCTCTATTAAATGGGCATAACCATAGCACCTATAGCACACAGCATGCACAGCAGCAGGTCGCAAGAGAGAATGGACTCGAAGCTCTTAGCAGGTATTAGTACATGCTTGCCACTGTTATCTTTTGCAGCTACCATCAAGCTTCAGTTACCTTGCCAATGTTTGCTGTGTCCAATCCAACCAAAGTGACTGTCATTCTCCTTTAGCAGATGAGAATACTGAGGCAAGGACACACAGCTGGTGACAGGCAGAGCAGAGTTTGGGAGGAGAATCCAAGAAACTTGTATGTGTGATTAAGTACTGACACTAGCTCACCCCTATATGACACAACTATGAGCCAAGCTAGGTTCTTTTACTCATCTCCTGTGAAGAAGGTATAATTATTTGTTTTACAGATGAGGGTACTGAGACACAATGCAGTTGGCCAAGGGTACAAGGCCAATATAGAGGGCAGATCTGGGATTTGAACCCAAGTACTGATCCAGAATCTATACTCTTAATTAACACTGTAAGGAAAGCCATGCTGCTTGTCCCGTTAGACTAAGTTTCAGGTTACTATGGGTCTCACAGGTTGGTAAGGGGGTGTTTGCCTGCTTGCTCAAGTACCCAGGCACATCTGCCCACCAACTGAGCTAGACTATTTTGAACAACTCACAGCCCAAGGCCTTGCCAGGACCACAAACATCTTGCAGCCAGAAGCTACTAATCCAGTATATACATGGTCCAAAAAGCACTCTCCCATTCCCATTTCCAGTCCTCTTATGACCAGGGAAATGTATATATTTCCCACATGTGCATGAATCTGCTTATCCCAGACTAGACTTAGTTGACCCCCAAAAGAATCAGGCCTATCTGCTAGAACTTGAATTCAAAGCTTGATAGAGAAAACCTAGACTCTTGTCTCAGGGCCTTTTGGGGTTAACTGGCTCTTTTTACCAGGTGGCATGGCAGAAACAAAGGACAAAAGCGTCAAGTCCAGGCCCATCTGATTCTGCCTCTACCATAACCAATGGCTCCAATTGCAAGGATGGGCTCAACCACTCATCTCAACAGGAAGCCTCAGACTTGATTAGAGCATAACAGTAAAGAGAGTGCACAGGCTTCAAAGTTAGTCATGGCTGAAATGGAAAAGCCAGGCACCATCACTTCGTTTCTCTCTCTCGATCCCTGGTTTCCTGTTCTATCAAATGGGGGTCAGATTCCCTGCCCCCGTAACTAGCAAGGTGCCTCGTCCACACTACCATACCTCAGCAGTTCTCTACACTCCATCACACAGCCTATCATTCACACCAAGTTCATTCCCACCTCAGGACCTTTGCACTTGCTGTTCTGCCTATAACACCCTTACTCCCATGTGTGCGCATAACTGCTCTTCTTTATCATTCAGGAATCAGTTTAAATGGCACCTCCTCAGAAAAGTCCTCCCTTTCCTTTTCTACAAACTCTCTTCCTCCATATTTGTGGATAATTCTTATCATACAGGACTCACCTCCTCAAAAGCCCTCCCTGAATACCCTAAGATAGATACTCCCTCCCAAACTTTCTCCCCTTACCCAGTTTGACTTTCCTCTCAGCAGCTAACCTTATCCCTGCATTTCTTATCTGCTTGCTTTTTTCCCCCCAACTGTCTCCCATAGGAACCTATAAGATCCTTGAGGGCAGGAAATATGTCTTGTTCAGATATTTACAGTGGAATTCAATAAATGAATGAATAAAACCCCAGTAATACAGAGCCTAGCACATGTTTGGCCTCTCATCACTCTTTGACTGACTGGCTGAATGTGCCCTCCTCCCTGTCCTGGAGAGCAGGACTGAGGGGTTCCTGGGTCAGGATGTTTGTCTGCCATCCTGGACACAGCCCTGCGTTGGCGGAGGTGGCGCTGGCAGACATTACCTGCGCCTCACCGGCTTCATGCAGCTCTTCAGCTGCCTGACCTCAGCCTCCACGGTACCCTGGGACTCGGGCTGTGGCTCCAGCTGCGGCAGCTGCTGCTGCTGGGGCAGCCCTTCAGCATCAGTGGGTGTGGGAGCGGGTGCAATCCGGAGCAGGACTGTGTAGTTACGGCCGTGGTTGTTGGCCCAGAAAGTGCCCTCGGGCGTCTCATAGCGCACCACGAAGTCCAGGCGTGCCCCATCACCCGCACCCTCAGCAAAAGGCAGCTGGAAGGCAAAACGGTCGGTGCTGCCGCCGTCGTCGGGCGAGGATGCGGACGCCTGGCCGGAGACCAGGCCAAGGCCCGAATCCAGGATGGGATCTCCTGTTCCTGGTCCTCCCGCTCCTGCCCCCGGCAGGCTGCGCGGGACGTAGCGCGCTGGGTGGTCGCAGAAAGAAGCCCAGCTGTCGTGTGAGGCCCGCACGTGCACCGCCTTCTCGAAGGAGCGGTTCAGCACGCGCACCAACCCGCGCAGCACAGGTGGGCGTCCCCCTGGCACCCACACCCCGGCAACCCCGGGGACCGCTCCGGGAGGCGGCAGCAGCGCCTCCAGCTCCACCATGACGCGCCCCAAGCGCTCCAGACGGCCCGGTGCAGGCGGCAGCGAAAATGTGGGTACCAAGTAAAAACCCCCGCCAGCGGGGACGGGGCACAGCGGCGAGGGCTCGGGACAAGCCTCCTCTTCCTCCTCCCCTTCATCCCCATCCTCGCCATCGTCGTCCTCGTCAACCCCTCCGCCATCGCCATCTTGCCCGGCCAACGCCGCCATCTTGCCCGCCCCAGGCCCGCCCCACGGCCGGTAGCGGCGCAGCTGCGCCAGCGGCAACCCCAGGGCCTCATCTGCGAACAGCACCCTCCGCGGGGCCACCGCTGCCTCGACAGAGGTGCGGGGCTCGCCCACGGCCGGCGAGGGGGGCGCAGAAGGCCGCAGCGGTGGCTCCACAGGGGCCGTACGCGCCATATCGGCGGCGGCGGCGGCACCGACGGCACCGGCGGCGGTACCGGCGGGGGCAGGGCTTGAATGAGCTAGCAGCCAATGGGGAGGCCTGAGCGGGGGTAGGCAGCTAGATGAAGACAGGTGTATCAGACAGCCAATGGAGGGCCGCGCATCTGTGACATAGGCGTTGAATCGCGAGCAGGAGAAGCACACAGCCAATAGGAATGCCCGAGAGTGGGCCTTGTAGGAGGCGGGATGATCGGTAAATCAATGGGGAGGACTGAATGGGGGTGGTGTAGGGTATGAGATAGAGAAGTAGAACAGCTAATGAGGAAGTACGAGTGGTATTGGCATCTGGGCGGCGGGGAAAATGGAATGGCTAAAGGCGATGGGGGCAAAAGGCGGCGAACAGAGAGGTCCGAAAAGTAGGAGATCCCAGGATTGCGTAGGCAAGTAGTGGGATGGAAGCTAGAGACAGAGAACAACCAATGGGGAGCCACGTGCCAAATGTGTAGAGAAGGGGTGACGATAATGGCCAATGGAGGTTCTCGTGAGCGTGCACAAGCCTTCAAGGGGTGGTGTCAGAGCGGAGTTAGCCAATATGGAGGCTGCAAGAAGCCGGAGAGGCCGTGTGTGAGTGCCTTGGTGGCGGGACTGGAAAGGCAGAACCAATGGGGGTGGGTGGTGAAGGCGGGAACAAGGAAGAGAGATGGCAGATAGCCAATAGGGGAGCCAGAGCTAAGTGGAACCTTCAAAGGGCAGTGTGAAGTAACATCAGGGCGAGACGTGAAAGAGCAGAGCCAACCGGAGTGTTATAGGTGGTGTGAAGGAGAGGATGAAGAGTCAATAAGGAAGCCAGGGGAGAGGACAGTGCGTAGGAGTCTATGGGCTGTAGGGTAATCAAGAAACAGAACATTTATCTTCTCCTTAACCCTCTGTGACTCCCCATTGCCCCAAGCTGTGAATCCCCACAGCCCCTGAAGACTTAGACTGCACCCTAGTGTGAGATCTAAGAAAGCAAAACGGACTCACCTGTCGCAGTTACTGGATGTCTTTGGCCCACCTCCAAGCCTTTACTTGAGTGCCACTAGCCAAAAATGCCCCTAATTGTCATCCTCAGCATTCTCCAGGACTTGGCACCATTACTGAATGAATGGCCAAGTGAGAAATTGAACTCTTTTGGAAGATTGGCTTTTTCTAACCAGCTCAGCAAAAATACTGAGCCTGGCTATGCCACCAAGAGTTGATTGGGCATGTTGGCAGGCACTGACTAACATAATCACAAATCCAAGCCCTGTCTTTCTTGCCCAGCTCGGCCCTCCACACCTTATGTGGCCTCACCTCCTTTCTGTCTCCATCTCTTCTACTGTTCCCTCTCCTGAGAACACTATTCCTTCTGCTTCCTCCATCTAGTCAACTCCTTCCACTCTCCCTTTGAGGTCTCACCCCCCCGTGGGAACTGAATTGTAGCTTTTTTCCACTGAACATATCCAATCATACATTTCCCCTCCAGCCTGGGGGGATTTACTGAACGCCTAATGTATGCAAGGTTTTGACCCACAGCATCCCTAGGAGAAAGACAGTCTCCCCAGCAGCCACCTTCCTCCCCTTCTCCCACATGTCTCAGTGTCCAAGGGTCATGGGTCAGGGAGGAATATGTTCCACTGCACATAAGAGAAAAATCATGAAAAAAAGGGAGCTTAAATGAGATAGAACTTTATTTTTTATCACCTAAAAGTCCAAACTGGTGAGTAGTCCAGGAACTCCTTCCTGCCTACCCAGTTAGGGCATTGTCTGTGTCCAAGTCTAGCCCCCAAACTCTCATCCTTCAACAGATCCTATCAGCTCTCCATTTACAATGTTTCCCAAATCCACTTTCCTTACCCGCTCCACCACCAACACCGTCATCATTCATTTGAACTATTGAAGTAGCCTCACTCTCTCTGGTCCCTCTGCTTCTACCCTCACTCTTATAGTCAGTTCTATACCTCGCAGTCAGAGGAATCCTGTTAAATCCCAAGACAGTTCATGTCTCTCATCTGCTCACAATTCTCCTGTGGACTCCTCCCCACTCAGAATAAAAGCCAAAGTCTTCACCATGGGCTATGAGATCTTGCATCAGCTAACTCCCCACCCTTGTCCACTCTGACCTAACCTCCTACCCCTCTTCCTCTCATTCACACTACTTTGACCATATGGACCTCCTTAGTAGACCTTACACAAATCAGGCATGCTCCCACCTCAGAGCCTTTGCACTGGCTATTTCCTCTGGAATTACTCAGATGTCTACATGGCTCCCTCCCTTATTTCCTTCAAGTCTTTGTCAAAGGCCCCCTTCTCTGGGGATTTTCACCCACCACTTTGTTTAATCCTGCCAACGTCCCTCAGAAGCCTTCATTCGAGAGGATATAGCCCAGTATAAAGAAGAGGTGGTGAACTCTGCCCCTCTCTGCCTACCTGACCCCCAGCTCTCACTCTGCAAGGATCCTGTCTAGCAGCAGTAGCAGCAGCAGCAGCATCACACCTCCCCACCCTGAGGTCCACTCAGGTAGCCTCCTGGGACTCTTTGGGCCACTGCTGTCACTCAGTTTTCCTCCTATTTCTCTTGCCACTCCTCTGACAGTAAGGGAGAGATCATCTGAAAGGGTATAAGAAGGGTTCATCCCATACCTCTAACCCTGAAAGAGAAAACTAGCCCCTTCTCAGGAGGGGCAGGACCTGGAGCAGAGAATGAGACCTTGGCTTCTAGAATTGGCCTGATTAATAGTTGCACAGCAGGTGTAAGAAATGTTCAGGTCCAAGTCCACATGGAGCAAGGTGTCATTAACCTTTGGGACATCTCTAAAGTTAGCTTCCCAGGCTCCTTTTTAAAAAACACTGTCCTCCCCGGTCTCTTGCTCCCAACTATAAGCCACATCTGTTAAGCCCCTGCTGTATAAAGGGTCCCTACAGGTCTCAACCTGAGGACCTCATCCCACTTTGGTACATCCCCTGGATGCCTGGCGCTCAGGCCATCTTTGGGTCGCAGATGTGTCCCACCAACTCAGAAGCCTCAACCAGTGAAAGTTTTGTTTTGAACTAATGGTAGGGAGGGTTGGGTTTTGTTTTGTTTTTTTTTTTAATTGTCACTGTAGGCTGATTTTTTTAGATCTTTTTTTTTTTCTATTCACCTTTTTTTTTCTTACCTTCACAAAGCCATACCATCAGGCCCCCTCTGGGCTTTTCCACAAAGGTGAGTCTGAGTTGAGGAAAGAGGCTCTCCTTTTTTTTTGAGGGCTTGGGAGGTGAGGGGAGAAAAGGAGGCAAAGGGGTGAAGGGATGGATCTTGGCCACCATGTTTGTGCCATGTGAATAAAAAGATGTTTCCAATTTCTCTTTTCCAGGCCTGAAACCACTCTTGCAGATGGGTTGGAGTGAACAATGGATGACAGAATCCCAGGCCATGCAGGGTACTGGGGAGCTGGAGACTGCAAGTTTCAGCCACAGCCTGTCAGGAGAGGCCCCTGGACACTGGTTTCCCCCATTGAGCGTTGGTTGGAGGGGATGCTCGCTAAGGTGAGGAAATGCAGCCACCAATCCTTGGACAACCCGAAAACTGCACAACCTTCAAGCCCCCCCCCCACAGAAGAATCTTAGAACCTCCCTATAATTGCACCCTAGAATTTAAAACCTGAGACTGTTGGGCTCAAGGGAACTTGGGAGTTTCAAAGCCCGGTACCAAGGAAGGCAGGATTCCACTCACCAACTCTGTGATCTGGAACAAGTTTTTTGACTACTTTGTGCATCTTCTCCACCTGTACAATGGCCATGATGACAAGATGGACATCAACAGGCTTTGGTGAGGATTGAATGTGACCATTTCTGAGAAGTGTTCAGCACTGAGTCTGGCACACTGAGAATTCAACATAAATCTCAGCTATAGGGATGTTGGCAGATATTTGGAATCCTAAAACCTTGGAAAATTGGATTTTTTTTTTTTGAAGTCACAAAGAATCGCAAACGCTGAGAGGGCCTCGGCAGCATCAGGCCATGATGTCCCTGACTATGTGAGATTTGGGCTCTGTGAGGATGTGTGCATTAATGCTGGGGTCCTGGTCAGGACCTTCCCTGTAGGGTGGCCTCTGGGTCAGAGCTCTTAGGCCCTGAGACATGATAAAATGAGACTTTACTCCCTGTCCTCACCCAGTGATGCTCAGTGGATTCTGGAAGCCAGTGGTTCTCAGACTCTTTGATTCTGTTAATTGTAGGAGGTGGGGAGGACTCCCTGCTTTTTTCTCCATGAAGTAACTTCTATGCCCCTCACCCTCTGTGGAAAGATGGGTTACAAGTTTGTCCAGAGTTCCCCTACTGTGGGCAGTAAGACTGATGATAACCATATCAATTCCACCTAAGGGGAAACTGAGGCTTGGAGCAGGACAAAGCCTCTGGAAACCCAGCCTTATTCCCTCTCGCTGGTGTTTCCCACTCACACATATGGCTTTAGTGCCTTTCTTTTTTTTTCCCCAGAGATCCTGAAATATCCTGTCATTCACAGAGTAGTATTTCTGCATGCCTGTGATGCCCCTGTGATTTGAGTTCTTGTCCCTTGTTTTTTTCCTAACTCTACACACTTGTTTTAAAAACTGTGGTTTCTCATGAGTCCTGTTATCTCATTGATACCTCTCACCTCTGTGGTGAGGGGAAGAAATCATATTTTCAGATGAATCTTAAAGGGCAAAGAAAAAAACCAAAATTTCCGTTTAAGTCTCATAATCAAGAAGAGGAGAAACAGAGCAAGAGAGAGAGAGAAAACTATGAGAACCCCCCCCACCCCGTGATTATCAGCGCACACAGTCATCGAAAAAAAAATTGGATTATTAGAAGAGAGAGGTCTGTGGCTTCCACACCGTGGGTTTTCTTCTCGGTATAAAAGCAAAGTTGTTTTTGATATGTGACAGTTTCCCACAAGCCAGGCTGATCCTTTTCTGTCAGTCCACTTCACCAAGGTGAGTGTCCCCGCTCTCCCCCACCAGATGCAGATCCAATGGAAGAGATGGCAATGAGGTAGGCACTGGAGGGTCAGGGGTCCTCCAGTATAGTCCAAACACATGCAGCTACTGTGTTCCTGGTAAGGTAAGGTGTTTTTTTTTAAATAATAATAGTAATAATAAATGCCAGGAAAATGATAGGTAAGGTACTTAATCAATGCTTGGGTGGAGGCAAAGATAAGTAAATTGTTATGTTGATAGGTAGGATTTTTTTAAAGATTTTATTTATATATTATTGGAGAGAGAGGAAAGGAGGGAGAAAGAAAGGGAAGGAAACATTGATGTATGAGAGAAACATTGATAAGCTGCCTTTCACACGCCCCTAACTAGGAACCTGGCCCGCAACCCAGGCATGTGCCCTGACCAAACTGATAAACCTTTTGGTCTGCAGGCCAACGCTCTATCCACCGAGCCACACCAGTCAGGGCAAATTTTTAAAATATGTCAACTGCCGATCTTTATGAATTGCAGAGCTTTAAACAACTTGAAACACTGTCCAGGTATGCCTGGAAATTTCAAATACATCTCTCACCTCTCTTCATCTCTTCTCTCTCGATATCTCCCATCCCTCTGTCTCTGTTTGCCCTGTCTCACTCGTTCTGTGTTTTTCTGCTCCTCTCTCTCTCTGTTTGTTTTCCTAGTACTCAGAATCTCTATCCTTCTGTCTTTATCTGCTCTGAGCATTTTCCCTGCCTGTTTCCTCCATCTTGACCATACTCCTTCAGTCTCTTTTCCTCAGCCTTTCTCCCACCATCTCACTTGCTCTCTTGTCTTGCCTTCCTCTGCCTGCCTTCCTACCCAGCATACAGCACAGAACTTTATACACTATTACTGGCACTCAATAATAGTGTATTGAGTAATGATCATGAGGACACTTAAGTTTTATAAGAATGAGCGTCAATTCTGTTTGCTCCATTTGAAGGTTGATTGTGAGCTATCGGGTCAGGCTCAGGACATAGCTGAACTTGTCCTTGCACTGTATGAAAGGAGACCCTCCTGTGGGACACTTTATGCCATTGTCAATCATGGTTTAACTGTGTGGTCCTAGTCTCAGGATCATGTGCACACGTGTGTGTGTGTGTGTGTGTGTGTGTGTGCGCACGAGCGCGCGCAGAGTCCATGTCCAGGAACAGAACAGGCTGTTTAAGGCTGGAGTGAGCTCATCTCTGCAGGCTTAGCAAGTGCTCACTAAGTGTTAGCTGTTAGTGTTTTTTTTAATGAAATTAGAACCATGCTACCCATTGGCTTTGTTCAATAAATAGGAGCATTTTTAAAGATCACTAAAAAATTTGTTTCAACATATGATCTTTCATGACTGTCAAAGCTGACCTCACATTGGCATGAACCATAATTGGTTACACCAAATGCCCATCTTTGGATATTTGGGTTGTTTCTAGTTTTTCCTAAGATCATCCCTGATTAATTCCTTGGATTTCTGAAAATGGAGGTGCTGGGGCAAAGTGTGTGTACATTTTTAAGGTTTCTGACCCTGTCTGCAAATTGTTCTTTCAAAAAGTTGTCCTGTTTTATGCTTCCTCTACTCAAGCTAACCTTGGGTGGGTATTATCATTTTTTAATCCTTTCTTATCATTACAGGTAAGAAAAAGTACTACCACATTGTTGAAATTTACATTCTTTGATTACTTATACTATTTATTGACCATTTATGCTTTTGGAGGGTCTGGTGTCCTTAGTCCTAATAGGGTGTTCATCTTTTTTCTTATTGATTTATCACATTTAGAAAGGGTATTTATTTAGAAAGGATATTAACCTCCTATCAGCCATGTGTGTGTGTGTGTGTGTGTGTGTGTATATATATATATATATATATATATATATATATATTTGCTTTTTCTATTTTTTTCACAGTGTTTTGTGGTACTTGTGATGTTTTTATATAGTCAAATAGTTTAGTCTTTTCTTCTGTGGTTACTGTCTCTGGTTTTGTGCTTAGAAAGTCCTTTCCCACTTGAAAATGAGATAAATGTTCACATGTGTTGGCTTCTAGTCTCTTTTATAGCTTCATTTTTTCCATTTACTGTAGAGATTTAAGCTGTCTGGGACAAACCAACACTTACCCCAACCCATCTGTGTGAATTTAAACTAGGCATTTAAATTCTCTGTACCTCCATTTCCTCATACATGCTGTGATGGTTATAATAGTACCTACCTCAGAGATGGTTGTGAAGATTAAATCTATTAATAATATTAAGTACTTAGCATAGGGCCTGGAATACAATAAATGCAAGATCCATGTTAGATATTATTATTTATCTTTTTAATGGATCTAGAATTTATTTTAGTGTATATGATGATGCTCACATTTCAAACTGGGCAGGGAGGGGTTAGTGGGAAAATGGACTGATTATTCATTCAATAGCTTTATTTTCCCTTAATTATCCCAGAAACGTGGGTTAACCAATCTATCCTACACTGTCCCCCAGTTTGAAATGTCACCTTCATCACAAACTCCATTCCCTCTAGCCATGGGTCTGTGTTTGAGCTTTCTATTCTGTTCTGTTCCTCAGTATCTGCTCTTATACCAGAACTACACTGTTTTGCTGATTGTTGCTTTGCAACACCATACCATACCATACCATACCCAGACCTGGGTGTAGCACCCATCTTGCCCTTTGTTATTCCTCATCATTTCAAGCACAATCAGTTCCTCCAGCCAGAGGTCAGCAACTGTTCTTATTCGGAGCACCACATCTCTATCTCTATCTCTATCTCTATCTCTCTCTCTCTCCACACACACACACACACACACACACACTACACAATGAATGCTGTTGGTTCCACACATACACTCTGTCTCTTCTTTTCTCAGTGTCTCTCACTGTCTCTCTCATTCTCTTTGTCTCTACTCTTTGTCTGTCATCTCTGTCCCACCTCATGTCTCCCCCATCTCTCTTTGTATCTCTTTTTCTCTGTCTCTCCCTTCCCCTATATCTGTCTCTGTTTCCATCTCTATGTATCTCTATGTATCCATGTCTCTCAGTCCCCTTGATAGAGGGGCAGTTGTCGATTTGAAGCCCTATAGACAACTAACAAATCACTCTGACACAGAGTGGAAGGGCCCTGGCACTCACCTACTCCACATTCCTCCCTTTCCCACTGTACAAGAGGAGGAAATTGAGGCCCAGAGATGGGTGGGAGGGCCTCTCCCAGGTCCTCACAGAGATACAGTGGCAGAGTTGAGTACCAAGCTTAGATCTTAGGACTCTCAGTGGGACCCTGGCTCTCTTTCTCTCCCCAGCTGTGGGTCTCAGTTACTTCTCAGCATCTATGAGGGGGCAAGGGGACCTGGGATGCTCCCCAGATGCTGCCATCCCCATTCTGCCTTCTCACAGGTGGAACCCTCACTGAAGCAAGAGGATCTATGGTCACAGTGTGGGGCTCAGCTTCCCAAGAGCTAGGCTGGGTGAAGTCCTGGGGCCCCACGGGTCAGGAGGCCTTGTGGGCAAAGGGTGGTGTTACTGGGAGGACATCAGTCAGTGGGTCTGGCTATGGACAGAGTTCAGCCATGTCCCAATAGTTGGCACTAGTTCCTAAGAACCTCCACCCCAAGGCCCTTCCAGAGAACCTGGTGGTGGGATCTTTACTGGCAAAGGCCAAGGATTTTCCTGCTCCCCACCATGAGGCCCTCACTAAAGGTATGCCTCAATCTCCCCTGTCTTCTCTCCCCATCTCTGGCAGAGTGGCTGTGATTCTGGGAACACTGTCCCAGAATGGACAGGGAGATGGAGACCCTGCAGTGTCCATTCACTGATCACTGACATCTGACTAAGTGTTTCATGTGCATTGACTTTGGAAGATGGATACTGTTATTATCCCACTTTACATATGAGCCTGAGGAGAGTTGTAGCTGGTTAGTGGCAGAGCCTGGCCCCAGGCTGGGGGAAGTAGAGGGGGTAATTCTGCCTTCACAGAACTTAGAAGGGAGGCTGAGGGTAGGTTTACTGCAATTCCAGGCCTGGTAGGTGGGAGGCCCAATGAAGTAGTCAGCTTTCTGTCCTTCAGAGAGTTCCAGTGAGTTTGAATACCAGGGATGTTGGCCTTCACATACTGAGAAGTTGGCCATATGGGTCCCAGAGAGTCTGTGAGTTTGAGATTCTGGGATCCTTTGAATCTAAGAAATGATGTTCTGTGACTCTGAGGTTCTGGCATAGTACCATTTGGAGACCCTGAGGGTCCCAGTATCTGTGGGATCCGCATGGCACTCCCTAAGTATCAAATCTTGGGCCTATCCTTGACCAAGAAGGGCCATGTCTGCAGGGCCCAGGACTTGTCATGGTGGCCAGATGGACGTCACTCACCACATCCGCCAGCACCCACATCACCACACCTGGGCCAAGCCAGCTGCAGGATGGGCCAGCCAATTCTCGGAACGAAACCCGTGGGGTGGGGTGTCTGCCCCGTTGTCTTCCTCCTTAGTGGCGATGAAGCCCAGTGCATCCGGCCGCCATGACGTCAATGGCGGAAAAATGTGGGGAAGTCAAAGGCTCTGACAACAGGGCCCAGATGCAGACCCCGATATGAAAACACAATCTATGTCCCAGAAACATCCTCCATGCGTCTTCTGAGAAATAGTCAGAAAGTGACGCCCCAACAGACAGTGCAGGAAGCTGGCTGCCCAGCCTGGCCTTCCAGTACCCCACCACTAGACAGAACATATCCATGTCCCCTTTCTGAGAATGTCTCTCTGCTTCCCTGAGTCAGGCCATTCCAGATGTGTTTGGGTAGGAGATTCATTATAAGGTCTGGCCAAGTGTCCAGGCAGCTTCAGAAGTGACCATAGCCATCTCTGTGGACCAAGCCAGAGGAGTGGAAAACATCCACTCACTCACCAAAATTGCTACTAGTTTGCTCCAGCTTCTGTAACAAAGTACCACAAACTGGGTGACTTAAACAACAGAAATTTATTGTCTCAGTTTTGGAGGCCTGAAGTCCTAGATCAAGGTGATGACAGTGTTGGCTCCTTCTAGGGCTGTGAGGAAGAAGGTATTCATGCCTCCCTCCCAGCTTCTCATGATTTGCTGAGAATTTTTGTCATTCCTTGACTTCTAGAAGCATCACCCTGATCTCCACTTTCATTCATTCACTCATTCTTTTGCTTGCCTCCTCATGGTTACTTGATGTTCTCTCAGGCCCTTGTTTTGAGCCTACACAGACCCAGACTCCTATTTCTCACACAGTATAGTTCTAACCTATAGGAGAAGGAGACTAACCAGAGAAGACTAAGAGTTATGTATTTAGATTTTCACCCCCACCTCCCTCAGCACCACAGCTCTGACAACCCCCATGGGCTGATAGCAAAAAAGGAAGGAGCAACTTCTCCCCCAGAACCCTTCTTGTACTCCCTTGGGCTGTACTTGGCAGATGTGTGCCCAACCCTGTGCTGTGGGGTGGGGCAGAGAGACACGCACATATAGCCCCACAGCAGGGTGCATGTGTAATATACACACACACACCCTTTCTGGAGAAAGAAGTGGAGCTCTCAAGTCATCATGAGACTGTGGAACGCTGCACCTAGGTGTCTCCGTCAATAAAATGGAGATTGGACTAGGCATTTCCTTCCAGCTCTGACTTCCTTTCACGCTGGGATTATGGGGTTCTAAGAAACTAAGACCCTGCACTTGGGGAGTGTGGGGTTCTGGAGCCGTTATGGTGTGCTTTCTGGATTGGCCTTGGATAGGGGAACAGAAAGAAGAGCTGACATTCCAGGCAAGCCAAACAGCATAAGCAAAGGCTTGAAGGTCAGCTGGGAATAAATTCCAGTGGGGGATGAGTCAAGGAGCTTCCACAGGTGCCAGGTCAAGAGAGACAGTCTTTCCTTCTCTCTGGCACCCTCCATGCCAGTTCTGTGCAGAGCAGAACTCAGAGGTGACCAGATCCTCCCTACCCCTGCCTGAACTCTAGACTCCTGTACCCATGTGTCCACTCAGCATTTACACTTATGTCTAATGCCAGACTCTTCATGTCCATTCACACCTGGATCATCACCCCTGTAGCCAGCTCCCCTCATCTCTGCCATCTCACATCACATCTGCTCTGTCCCTCCAGCTGCTCAGGCTAGTACCCAGAAGTCACCTTGACCCTCCCTCTCTTACCCCCAGATCCAAGCTACCAGAAAATTTTCCTGGCTCTACTTTCCAAACATACTATTCAGAATCCACCCACTTCTCACCATCTCTGCTGCTACTGTCCTGGTCTGTGCCATCATCATTACTTACCTAGCCTGCTGCAGTTGCATCCTCACTAGTTCCCTGCTTCTGTCCTCACCTTCCTAGAGTCTGTCCCTCTCACAGCAGCCACAGGGATCTTTTGAGTCCATGCCCCCCTGCCACTCCTAAATATGCTCAAGTCACTGGGGTAAAATAATGCTCCCAGGAGAAAATCACAGACCAGCTCCAGTGGGATCAGCAAAGGTTGTGTGGCCTATGCCAGATATGGGGAGGACTGGAGGGCTAAGGCCTGAAGACAAGCCTCGAGTGATGGGGGAAGGAACTGGGACCTACCCTTGCTGAGGTCCCACAAACCACCTCCAACCCCCAACCTCTCTCTGGAGGACACATCCCTACCAGGGTTGTGCCATCATGTGCAGCCATGTGCTATACCTATGCAAGACTGCACATGGAGCATGTGTGCAGAGACATGCACACCTGTGCTCCTGACAACAATGTGTGTGCACACACACACACATGTGTACACACACATGACAAGAGCTGAGGTCCAGTTGTGGGACTTTTTGGGACATGTCCCAGACAATGCCTGCTCTGACCAGAGGGGGTGTCCACATGGTTTGGGTGGTTGGGTATTTTGCACACCCCTCAGCACATGTATAACTTTTTCTCCCATGTCTCCACAGGCTGACCTCGGACACAGACCCAATGCCCAACCCCAAGCCAGCCAAGCCCTTGGCCCCTTCCATGGTGCTCAACCCATCCCTAGGGGCCTCACCCAGCTGGAGGGCTACACCCAAGGCCTCAGACCTGCTGGGGACCAAGGGCCCAGGGGCAACCTTCCAAGGCCGGGACCCCCGAGGTGGGACACATGCTTCCTCCTCCTGCTTGAACCCCATGCCACCATCACAGCTGCAGGTGAGGCCCAGGGCCCATGATGGAGCAAGCAGGGTGGAGTACCTGGGCTTACAGGTGCCGACCTTTTCTTTGGCACTGGGCGGGGGGCCCGGCTGGGGCACAGGAAGTGGTTTTCTGGGTCTCAGGCAAGTCTGTGACTTATGCAGATGTCACAGGGCCAAGAAAGTCCCCACTTAGCAGGTCTCAGATATTCAAGGCTCTCCCCAAACTCCCAATCCCTGTCTCAGGAGAGGAAATCTATCTATCATGGTCCCACAGGCATGGCCATGTGTCCCCATCCCCATGTGACAGAGGAGAGGGCTGGGGCCCAAGGAGGTGGGACGACAGAGTTGAGGCCAGCTCTGCCACTTATTAGTTTGTTGATCTTGAGAAAGTCACTCAGTTTCCCTGAGCCTGAGTTTCTACATAGGTATAAAGGAGATGGTCATAATACCTACCATGGGGGCTTGTGGTGAGGAGCATATGAATTTGACATGTAGAACAGTGAGGATGAAGATGGCACCACTCTTGCCTGCCTTCTCCCCCCAGTTGCCCTCAGTGCCCCTTGTCATGGTGGCACCCTCTGGAGCACGGCTGGGTCCCGCACCCCACTTGCAAGCACTCCTCCAGGACAGGCCACACTTCATGCACCAGGTATCAACCCAACTGGGCAGGGGTGTGAAGGAGCTGGTGGGGGAATTGGGGAGGGAGCTAGGCTGGACAACAGCCCATACGTGCCCCTAGCTCTCAACAGTGGATGCCCATACCCGGACCCCCATGCTGCAGGTGCACCCATTGGACAGCCCAGCTATGATCAGCCTCCCGCCACCCACAGCTGCCACTGGGATCTTCTCTCTCAAGGCCCGACCAGGCCTGCCACCTGGTAATACTACACCCACAGCTTCACAGAATCCTAGAGCCCCCAAGTCCTTGAATGTGAGCAGTGTAGGCTGCTGAACCATGGCCCTCAGGTGTCAGGTGTCAGGTTTTATCATCTTGGAAATTCCAACCTCCAAAAAATGTCAGGCTCAGAACCTGAAAGATGCATAACATCAAAATCATGGAACCACAGATCTCTGCAGAGTTAGTGAAAAGGTCAGCTCTTACAAATGGCAGCCTTTGAGCTGCTCCGCCAGAAACCTTGGATGTTAGGAACACCAGAGGCTTAGGAGGGTGGGTAGCTCAAAAGAGAGGCCTTGTGGGCCAAGTTCCAAAACCCATCCCATAGTCTACAGAAGTGCCCTGTCGCTACCCACAGGGATCAATGTGGCCAGCCTGGAGTGGGTGTCTAGAGAACCAGCACTGCTCTGCACCTTCCCAAGCCCCAGTGCACCCAGGAAAGACAGGTTGGTGGGCAGGGCTGGGAGGGACCCTTGCCTTGCCACTCCTTCCCCTGACACCCTATGTCCCCCCAGTACCCTTTCAACCATGCCCCAGGGCTCCTACTCACTGCTGGCAAATGGCGTGTGCAAGTGGCCCGGATGTGAAAAGGTCTTCGAGGAGCCAGAGGACTTCCTCAAGTGAGTGGCCAAGGCCTATTCCAGTCCAGGGGAGTCCCCAGTTTGTGTAAGGAGGTATCAGCTCAGGCCTCATCCTGATAGGTAGTAAGATAAAAGAGGCAAAAGCTGAGAGTGAGAATTCAAATCCAGGCTCTGTCACTCACTAGCTGTAAGACCTTGGGCAAGTTACTTAAGTTTCTCTGGGACTTGGTTTTCTCATCTGTACATGGGGCATAATAGTGTGTACTATTATTTACCTCCATTTTACAGACAAAGAAACTGAGGCCAAAGAGGTTGTCTTGATCAAGATCACCCACTTCCTAAGTAATAGAGCTGGGATTTGAACACAGCCTCCAGAATATGCACTCCTAACTGTTTTGCCCTGCAACCCCTCATGCCAACATACCAGCCTGATTTTGTCGATCCCCAAAGTCCCAGCTCCTCAAAATAGCTGTTTCTGCCTCTCTTTAGCTTCATAACACAAAAATACAACACACATACACACACCTTCTCCAACCCTACCCACCTATCAACGGTAATCTATCCTCTTCACCACCAGGCCTTCCCTCTACCTGGAATGCCTTTCCTGCTCTCACTTCCCTGGCTGCTCCCAGTTTGCCCCTCTTCCAACATCATCCCCAACACCCTGGCCAGGCTCAAGTGGCAAGCTCAGGTCTGGCAAAAAGGAGATGCCAAATAGCATGTGTTGAAGGAATGAGGGGTGTGAGGAGACTGAGGTAGGGGGGTGGGAGGCTGAGACACCTCCCAGAGGGTCTGAGCCCTTCCCACTCAGAACATTGAGCCAATAGGCCAGGCCCACCTGCATGGAATCTTCCCCCTCCCTAGGCACTGCCAGGAAGACCATCTCCTGGATGAGAAGGGCAGGGCACAGTGTCTCCTCCAGAAAGAGGTGGTGCAGTCTCTGGAGCAGCAGGTGACATGGAACATGGGGTGATGGTGGGGGGATGGTGGGCTTGTCCACCCTGTACCCGAAGCCAAGCTCACTGAGGATGGGGCTAGCATAAAGAAAGGAAGTGGAAAGGTCACTCCCAGGGAAGACCATAGCCTGTGCAAAGAGGTGGTGGGAAAAGGCCAGGTTGAGACCTCACTTTGTGCCTGTCCTCACAGCTGGTAGTGGAGAAGGAGAAGCTGGGTGCTATGCAGGCCCACCTGGCTGGGAAGATGGCCCTGACCAAGGCTCCATCTGTGGTAAGCCACCCCAGGCCTGATGTCAGCACAGACTGCTGGGGAAAGGAAGGAGGGGAGAGGACCTGCAGGGTGCAGGGGACCTACCCTTACACCCAAGCCCTGGGATCTCTGGACCCCTGTTCCCAGCTCCAAACATGCCCAGACCTGAGAATCTATACCCTTCCACTAACAAACCCTCTAACCCTAACCTCTTAAAACATCATAATCTTGTTTTCAAAACAAAAGCAAATAGCTAGACACTTACTGAACAGACTGTGTGTCACTGACAGGACTATCAATATAACTTGCTGGGCCCAGGGCAAAATGAAAATGCAGGGCTCAAATTTCAATATGGCAACTGCAGAGCATTAAACAAAGTGCAGAGCCCTGTGCGGCTGTACAGGTCACATGCCCACGAGGGATCCCTGGGTGACAGGTACTGCTTCTGATCATTTTGCTGGTGTGAACTTATTCAGTCCTCATGATGCCACTGTATCATGGGCATTGCTATCATCTCTAACCCACAGATGAGATTAAATTGAGGCCAGGAACATTTAAGTGACTCTCCCAAGGTTGGGTGGTAGAGGAGCTCGATTCAACCCCAGCCTGTGGCCCCAGCATTGGTGAGCTACACACACTAGTGTCCACACCACACTCTGAAAAATATGGCTCATGCTGCTTTGTGGGAATACACATCAGACTGGAGTTCAGAAGAGGGCGCCCTTGCTTTAAAAAAAAGTGCTTAATTATTTAAAATTTAAGTGGAAAGTTTCAGCCTCTGGGTCACCAGCCTCTCCCTCCCCACCCTCCCCAGGTGTCATCTGACAAGGGCTCCTGCTGTGTTGTAGCTACTGGCACCCCTGGCACCACCATTCCAGCCTGGCCCAGCCCCCAGGAGGGCCCCAATGGCCTGTTTGCTGTGCGGAGGCACCTCTGGGGCAGCCATGGACATAGCACATTCCCAGGTAAGGATGGTCTGTGCCCTGCATGGTGTCCCTGAACCCCTAATCCGCAGGCTGGCATGAAATTGGGGTGGGGGATCTCCACACTGCTCTTCCCCACCACCACTACCTAGCCTTTGGAAAAACATATCTGCTAGAAGTTTCCTCTCAGAGTTTCTGTAGCCTCCAAGCTCCCATTATGGTCTCAGATGTGTAGCCCTGTCTCCCCTGGAGATTGGGGCTCACACACTATCCTGGGGGTTGGGGCTTCAGCTATTCCATTTGGTCATCAGACAGGAGGGAACTACCTATGTAATTTCCAGGGATTCTTCCTCTCCCCTCAGCCAAAGGAAAGTGAGGCAATTCACCCAAGTTCACCAATCCCTGGGTGAATACTACACAAAAGGCCTGGGTGGTGGGTTTTAACAGGGATCAGGACCCTCAAGTATTATGCTGGTTCTGCCACCAAACCAGTTACATCCTTTTGGTGTGCAAGTTACTTCCCTTCTTTTAAACCTCATGGAGAATAAGCCCCATTTTGTTGGGAGTGGCACAGAGAGTGATACAAGTCATGTCAGGTGCTCAGCAAACAGTAATTGTCATCATGGAAAGAGTGGAGGGTATGAGAGAGTGTGGTGGGGCGGGGTTCAGATGGAGCCTGACTCTTCTCTTCCCTTGGACAGAGTTCTTCCACAACATGGACTACTTCAAGTTCCACAACATGCGGCCCCCATTCACCTACGCCACCCTCATCCGCTGGGTAAGCAGGCAGCTCAGGCCAAGGAGAAGGAAGAGAAAGAGGGGGTGGGGACCTGCCTCCCAGAGTCCCAGCCTCCCTCTAAGCACCCCTGGGGAGGGTTCCTGAGTGAAGAAACTCATGCCTCAGATGTGGAGCCCTATGCTGGCTTCAACCCAGACCTGCTCCTAAACCCAAACCTAAACCATCATCCAGGCCAGGGCAAGCCAAATTCAGGCCCTAAACCCATTCCTTTCCTAATGTCCACCTCAAACCCATACCTATTCTGCCTTATGGACCTATAAAATCCCCCCAAAACTAACCTGATCTCTGCTCCTTGTCCTGAACCTTTTCCAGGTATTGCCCTAATTCCTTCCCCAGCCCCAATATGTAAACACATCCCCCAGCTGGACCCCATCCCTAACCTCTTCATTGTAACACCTATCTGACCCTTAACCTCACCCCATCCCAACCCTTTCATCTGAATCTCCCCAATGCCTTCCCAGAACCTTCACCAGAGCCCACCTGGACCTTCATCCTAGGCCCATACCTAATTCCAAATCTTAATCTTAACCTAATTCCTATGCGATGCTGCACAGTCCTCTACCCAGCCCCATCCTGACTCTTAACCTCTTTGAAGTTGTAATCACTGCCCCTTAACTTAACCCCATTCTTAAATCCAAACAGATCAAATTCTCTGACTCTTAGCCCAACTCCACAACTAACCCCAACCCTGCCCCTTATCAACTATACACAGCTAACCTCAATTTCACCACAACTACCTTCATTCTTGACCCTGAACCTAACCACATCCCTGGCCTATAAAATAATTAAATAACTAGGCTTATCTCAGATGCCTGACCTAATGCCACACATCATCCTGTCACATGCCCTTCAAATAGTCCTAGTCCATCCCCAGCCTGAATCTAACCAACCCCTTCCCTGACTTTTAGCTCTGCCTGGCCCTTTTCTCCTTCCAAATCCTTACCTTGACCCCATTCCTGGCCTTTAACCTTCCAAAATCTTGAAACCTCACTCCTCAGAGAACCCCCACTCCAACTCCATCCCAGACCTTGAACCTAACTCCAGCCCTAACCCTAAGCTATGTCCTGCTCCAACCTCAGCTCTGATCCCTTATATAACCCCATCCCAGCCAGTTTTTTACCCCACTTCTAACCTTGTCTCTAATCCATCACCCCTATATCATCACTCTCCCTCTCTTCCCTTGTCCCCACAATTCCACCCCATGTCAGATGGCCCAGGGTAGGCCACTGTCCTTCTCAGCCCAAATTTAGAGGAGCATCTCCCCTTACCGCCACATCCCCTAACTTCTAGGCCATACTGGAGGCTCCTGAGAAACAGCGGACACTCAACGAGATCTATCACTGGTTTACACGCATGTTTGCCTTCTTCAGAAATCACCCTGCCACCTGGAAGGTTAGTGCCTCTGGAGGTGGCAGGGCTGGGATAGCCTCAAGTGCCACCACAGTGCTGGGCCAAGCTGGGAAGGCCTGGGGCTGGGCTTGCAAATGTGATGGGAAGGGGCAGGATGTTGGTTTTTGGTGGGGACTGCTGACCTCAGAGGATGACTGCCCACCCACTCCCCCTACCCCCGGCCTGACTGGCTGGTCCTCCTTCCACAGAATGCCATCCGCCACAACCTGAGCCTGCACAAGTGTTTCGTGCGAGTGGAGAGTGAAAAGGGGGCTGTGTGGACCGTGGATGAGTTTGAGTTCCGCAAGAAAAGGAGCCAGAGGCCCAGCAGGTGTTCCAACCCCATTCCTGGTCCCTGACCTCAAAACCCAGGAAAGAAACAAGGACAGGGCCAAAATGCCAGGCAAAAGTGGCCAGGGGCAGGGTTAACAGGACCTGGATGTGCCCACAGGGACCAAGTAGTATGTGTGCTGACTTGCCTGCCTGGGACCCTATTTCCCAGCTGACTACCCACTTGGATCTTATGCTGTGTACCAAAGCTGCTCAGAGGGGCCCCATCCCTGCAAACCCAACCCCAACTCCACTCCAACCCCTGCAACAGGCTCTCCAGGCAAACAAAACCTTCACAATCAACCACACACACATCCTTCCTCAGTCATTCACAGATAACCTCAGGCTAGAAAAAACACAGGAGCTCACAATACTGTCCATTGGACTCCTTACAAACTCTCAAATACGAGCCTATCAGTACACTTAAAATCTGCACAGTTATACAGACAGTCACACCCAAGTAGTCTTGTCAACACACATACCCCAAAGCACACAGCCACAGCCAGCCTTCGAACCCTTTGGTGTACTGTTACATGGAGTGTGTCTTGACACCCACATAGAAGCAGCTTAGTGCTTTTAGGGTCTCAGGTCCTAGAAAGCCACAATGACACATACTGCTCACACAGGGTCTCACACAGCTCCTGACACATAAGTTTGGTCACACAGCCCATTAGAACTCACCTGCACACCATACTCACACAGGCACATCCACACAGTGCCCCAGCGGGCTTCTTGAGTCCCACGCAGACACACACAGCCACATACATTGACTCGCCAAAATGTACCCTGTGTCTCACCCACCACCCACCCCTGCCCCACCCTGAGCCCTGTGCCCCCATCCATGCCTCAGCTTAGACTACAGACAGTCCCTCATTTATTTGAGATCCAAGGCCCCAACCCTCAGTGTCCTCCCCAATAAACTGCAGCCAAGCTCCTACTTTCTGGATGTTCGCCCCAGACAAGGGTTGGGGTCAGGTGGGCAGGAGTCACCAAAGTAGGAGGGACTTGGCAGCAAACACAGAACAAGCACTTGGCCATCGCCTCCAACTCCCCAAATCCCTGCTGAAGTCTGGGGTAGGGGAGACCTCTGTCCGGAGCCCCTCAAGTCTCACGGACCCGCCCCAGGAGGCCTGCGTTCTCCTGGCGAAGGGCCCGGTAGTCCTCTTGGATCTTCTCCAGGTTGCTGAGGGTCTTCTTGCCCATCTCCATCTCGATCTAAGGAACATGAATCACATCTCTTCAGCGAGCATGGCCTCTTTCCCAGCTCCTGCTCACCACCCCCTCTGTTACAGGCACTCAGGGTCCTTCCTGGGCTCCTCTTACCCAACCTCCAACAATAGCCTGCTCTGTCCCACTGCCAGGCCTTTGCACATGTTGTCCCTACATCTAAAGTGTTGTTTGGTATGTAGCATGATTACCCACCACATACTCAAGCTGAAGCCTCTGCCAGCGGTGCTGGGAGGCAGACATAATACCATCGGGACAGACGCTGGAACTCAGATGTTGGCACTTGCCTGTTCCAGGTCAAGTGCATGGCTAACAGGTAAGGCAGAGACTCCAGCCGTAAGCTGTGTCTGGTTCAATAGCCTGTCTTGGCACAAACCAGGGAACTGTCCCCTGGCCTGCCTTGGTTTCCCCTCCCACCCCTAGGCCTCACCTGCTCCTCAAGGTCTCGAACCTCCCGCATGATAGTGCCCGTGTCCTCAATGGTTTGGATGAGCTGACTGCAGTTCTGGGGACAGTAGGAAGGAAAAACTTACACTCCAAACTGGCTCCTCCCCAGGCAGCCCCTGAGGCATGCTTCCCCCCTCACCTCATGCAAGGCAGCTAGATACTTGTAGGCCTTCCGAACAGCATCATCCTTCTTGGCATCCTGACCAGACAGAAAGGACCTCAAGTGTATCAGTGGGGTGCCCCTACCTCTACCCCCCTGCACACCACCTCCAGGAACCCGCAAGGCCACCCTCTTCCACCCCCATGACTTCATCCTCTATGGAGCAAAGTCAGACCCCAGCATCAGTGTACCTACAAGTCTCACACAGGGCCCAGGCCCAAGTCAGCCCATGACCAGATGGGCAGGCAGCAGCCCAGCCCCACACCACCCCTCTATCTGGCCCCGTCTGCCTCACACCTTGAACACAAGTTCATCAGTCACCGCAAATGTCCGGTCCAGCTTCCCAGTCAGAGAGTTGATTTCCTTCTGAAGCTCCTTTGTATCAGACAAGATCTGGCAGAGATCAGGGCCATGAGCCTATGTCTGGGGTGAGACAGCTGACCTACTAAGGGCATTCATGTGCATGCACTCACATCCAGACAGGGCCTATGTCACTGTGTGAGGGTTGGCCAGAGTGGACTGTGTGGGACTGTTCTGGGTCACTGTGTGGCCAGATAGCTTTGCCTATCAGAGGGCCTGAGGTCCCTGTGTGGCCATGCTATACATATCTGCCCTTTGGACATGTCTTCCCATATGGCCTTCCCTCTAAGACCACAGCAGCATACCTTAGTGATCTCTTCCTTCTGCTTCCGGATGTTGCCCACAATCTCCAGGATACGCTGGGTATAGGCCAGCCTGGACACATCTCTGGGTAGGGTTTCCAGCTCAGACACCTAAATAGAGACACAGCAGACACTCCCCCAGGACCCATATCCAACGTACTCTGAACCAACCAGAGCCCTGGCATGGGCCTTACCAGCTGTTTATAGACCTCCTCTTTCCTGCGGGCCTCCTCAGCAGCTGCCCGAACACTCTGGTGCAGCTCTTGAATCTCTGCCAGCCGTCGAGAAGATTCCAGCTGCCAGGACCCCATGGGTACAGGGCAGTGAACAAAGCACAGGGATGGTCCCCTAGGAAGATACCAAACCTGCCCTACCCACAGTCCAGGACCCCACCACCTACCTCTCTGCAATCCCGGAGCTTTCGTAGATGGCGGTATTCAGCAAGGAGTGGGACCCGGTGCTTTTCCCACTGGCCCACCAAATGGATGACCCTCTGGGCACTGCTCTCTACCACAAGCTGGGAATGGTGGTAGGAGGGTACATGTCATACAGGCTGGGCCCTTCCACCTCTGACCCTCCTGGTCCAGCCCCGGTACCAGCCCTACCTGCAGCTTGGCAAGGTTGGCAACCCCGTCTGGCAGCAGCTCCACCGCCCGGCTCTTTAGGCGCAGGGCCTGCTCCCTCTCCGATGTGCTAAGTTCACTCTGCCGACACTTGGCCTCCACCTGGTACCCCAGGACTCTCAATATCAATCAGTGGGGGAACTCAATACCCACCACAGGCTCCCAGCCCACACTGAGCCTGGAAAGCCCTGGCCTAACCCAAGTTCCCATAGATGATGACATACCCCTCCAGCCCCTATGGGCTTCTTTTTTTTCCCCCTATGGTCTTCTTGACCCCCTCCTGATATTGACAGAGACCTATAAGCATCAGTGGGCACCCAGAAGCCCCTATGATGTCTCCACTTCCATACTTACCCCCAGAAGCCCTGGTAAACCCCACAAGCTCCTGCCTGTACAGACCCATAATGCCCCACTGATGCCTAGAAATGCCCACAAACCTCCTGAATCTCACAGATACCCACAAGGCCTGACTAATGCCCACAGGCACCTTTCACCCCTATAGGTCCACGAAGCGCTGCAACCATACATCCCCCTGACACCCCCACTGATTCTCCTGAACTCTCAAGAACCCCACATAACCCCCAAAGGCCCTCATGAACCCTTCTGACATCTGCAGACCTCTACAGAGTACCTCTCATCCTTCTCAAGTCCCCCAAAGCCCTCTAGGTCAGACTTGTGACCTGACCCCAGATGGCATCCCCTCTACCACCCCCACCTGTGCGAGGCCGATTCCCAGGGTCTTCATGTTGGCTTCAACCTCTTCAATGTTGCGGTTCACTCCCTCTAGCTGCTCCTGAAGGGCCTCCAGCTCCTGCTCTTGAGCTGCCCATGTGTCCTGAGAAGAACAGGCCAGTCAGGGTGGGAATGTCAGGCCCAGTAGACAGGCAAGGGCCCAGGACACCCCTCACTGCTCCACTCACCTGTTCAGGCCACCGGGAGGTGGCTGGCACATCTGACACCTGGGCTGCCTGGGCCTTGGGCTCCTGGAGGAGGGAGAGGGGAGCATCCTCGCTGTCAAAGAAGGCCTTGCCCCTCATAGCCCAGCCTAAACACCCCCAAAAGTACCCTTCTAGCACCGTACCTATGCCCACTCAACTGCTAATGACTACTGGGCTATGACTATATGAGGATCAAAGAAATCTATGTGGCCTCAGATTAGAATGTTTGCTCATAAAGAAACCTCCCTGATCCTGACAGCTTCTGCTTGCCTGGCCCACCTATGAAGCCCCAACTTTCCATGAGAAGGATGAGTGCCCCTCTGGGTAACCATCCAAGGAAAGATATACCCAGAGGAAATTTCCTGGGGAAGCTTGGAGTTTGCACAATGAACATCCCTCTACCCTTACATGGTTCCCATCCCTCTACTCGTTCTCCATTGAAGTCTCTGAGAAGCCAGTGGACCCCTCTGGATACTAGCCCCTAGTGGGGAGAGGCCACACCTGGTGGGAACATAGGCACCTGTGTGGATAAAGTATGGTGTTTGTACATAAAGCAACCCTCCAAGACAGGCTTGGCCCCATCAACATGCCAAATATCCATGCAGGCCCACCCACCAGACAGAAGGTGAACTTCTCTGAATGTGTGAAGCGAGAGCCCTTAGGAACACCAGTTCTGGTCCCAGCACCCCAGGACTGCATCAGCTCTCCTAGGTCTCGGGCTTGAGGAGAGGGACCCAGCTGGCCCCACATCTGACGCAGATACTCAGCCAGGTGCTTCTGAAGCCTCTGCCTCTGAGCCCGAGTATCCTCCTGAAAACAGAGGGTAAGGTAAAAGGGTCAGGTCTAGAGGCCTCCTCATCACCCCAGACCCTGCCTCCTCCAGGGAGCCACGTGACAAGGTGCTACTGACAAATCACACCCTCCAGCCTCTCCCACCAAGACGGCACTGGACCTGCTCTCTTGGCCCATCAGTTTGGGAGCGCCCCCAGTACAAGGTCACCTCCTCATCATAGCCACATTTCACCTACTCACTCCTCATACTAGAGGAAAATGTGGGAAGGTGAAGCAGTAAGCCTGCAGCCCCCAAATCAGAGAATGACACAGAGGAATATGTGGAGACAGAGCAGACACAGAGTCAGAGGTGCTGAGCAAAGAAGGAGGTGGAGGCAGAGAGTGGGAGTGAGAGAGAGAGATACAAGAACAGGAGCGGTTTGGGGACAACAGAGGAAATCTGATTATGAATGGTGCTAAGAGATCATTGCTAATTTTGTGAAGTGTGAAACAGCCCAGGGGTTACATTAAAAAGTGAATGTCCTTATGAGTTAAGAGACATATGCTTAAGCATTCAGAGTTGAAATGACATGTCTGGGATTTGCTTTAAAGTGAAACTGAAAAAAAGTTGGGGGAGACTAGATGAAGAAAGATTAGTACAACGTTTGTAGTTGAAGGTGGGTGACAGGTACATAGGACTCAGAACATTATGTCTACTTCTGTGTTTGAAATTTTCTGTAAGTTTAAAAAATACAGAAATAAAGATGGAACACATGGCAGTGGGGGTGTGGGGCAAGACAGTAAGACAGTTGCAGAGATGGGCAGAGGGGACAGATACAGGTAGACAGAGTGGCAGAGACACAGCACAGAAATGAGGAGACAGAGGGGTGAGAAACAGGGGCAGCAAAACCACAGAATTAGAAAGTGGCCAGAAGAAATAATGCAGATATCTTGAGACAGAAGAAATAAGCATGACAGACAATGGCAGAGACAGAGAAAGAGTGGCAGCCTCAGGGGTGGAAAGAAGGTAGGAGAAACAGGGAGGATGGAAGGACATCCTGATTGTTCTGGCTGCTAGGAATCTCATGCATGTTTTCTAGTCAAACACACACAGCACTACTGCCACCCGTGTCTTAAAACAGAAAATTGAGATTGTGACGATATTGACTTGTCCAAAGTCCACAGCCTTTCTGACTCCAATGTTCTTGCAGGCTGGGAGCCGAGTAGATGCATGCAGAGGGGAGATGATGAAAGAGAGAGACAAAGTAGGAAAAGGAGAAGGGCAGAGGACCAACGGGAGATAGAATGGGAGCAGAGATGAACAGGGACCTCCACAGCAGGGAGCCAAGCATTGGGCAGCACCTGGGTAGGAAGGCGGGATGTCCTGTGGACCCAGTCCTTGTCACCAGGGTGGTCCTGGCCTGTGTGCTGGCAGAGCTGAATGGCATGGCATTCGAGGAGCGAGGCCACCCTCCCAGCAGGATGAGGTGCCTGGGTTGGGGCTGGTAGTAACAGGGAACTTGCCTGGAACTCTCGGGACTCTGGAAGCAGGAACAGAGTCAGACAGCCCTCCCACCTTACCACGCACCTCTACCTTTCTCCCCAGCACCTCCCCACCGCCCCACACTCACCTCCTCTGGAACTCAACTCAGGCATGAACAGTCTACTGGCATGGAAAGGCTTCTGGGGGGCTGAGCCCTGGTGGGAAAACAGAATCAGAGCCTCTAGGATGAATTGTGATGGAGAGCATTGGTGGGAGGGGGCCAAAAACCTGAGTACCCAGATGAGGACAAGGAAAGCGAGGTAAAAACAAGCAAAGATCAACATGTGTTGGGGGGTCCCACCTGGAGGTGCTGCAGCTTAGGAGGGCGAAGGAGGGGTGGAACCCAGGGCAGGGCCAGCTGGTCCCTAATGTGGCTCCCAATAGCTCGGAGAAGGATAGCTGAGTCACCTATGGGGGGAGAGAAGGGAGTGTCAATCAGGTGACAATGCCACAACTCCAAAAATACAGACTATGGGAAAATAGCCATCTCTCCCTGACCCCCCTCCCAGAGATACATATCTATCTAGCTATCAAACTCACACCCAGTCATTAAATAAACATTTACTGAGTACCTACTATGTGCCAGACACTACTCTAGACTCTCAGGCTATCTCAGTGAACAAAGTGATAAAGATCCTGCTCTCCTGGGGCCAGCAGGCTGGTAGAGGAGATCATGACTAATGTCAAAAGGATGATACAGAGAACCATCAGGTAGTGATAGGAAAGGAGGATAAGGACTGTTGAGAGAAGGATGTCATTTTAAACAAGGCAGTCCATGATAGGCCTCCCTGAGGTGACATGTGACCAGAAACCAAGAGACTATCTCAGGGGATAATAATCAACAAATACAAAGGCCCTGGTGCTGGAGTGCACCTGGCATATGTGAGGGGCATCGAGGAGGCCAGAGGCAGTGGAGTAGGTGAGGGGGAACAGGGCAGGAGGTGAGATAGAGAGGGCTCTCCCAGCACCAACCCACCACCTGGTTCAGCCCAAGTCCCAGTCCCTTCCCCCTGTTCTGCATCCCCTCTCCCAACTCCAATCCTCCCACCTAGGTCTTCTGAGGACACATATCCCCACCTCCTATCTGGCAACCTCTTTACCATTTCTACCTCTCTCAGCCCCTATAACACCCAGGAATGCCACCCTCTCCTTTTTCCCTCACCATGCCCCAGGTACCCCATACCTGCAGGCTGGTCTGCATCCTCAGAGGCATCGGTAGGTAGACGCTCAGCCAAGAAGAGAAGCAGGTCCCGGAGATCAGGCTCACTGGGGTAGAGGAAGTTCTGATAGCCAAGCTCCAAAGGATAGCCCAGGTCCTGGGGGTTGGGGAGGGGGCCCCTATCAACCAGGCAGGCAGGCTCCTCCTGCCCTGGGAGCCCTGGGCCTAGACCCTAAATGCTCCCACTCTCTTACCAACCAGCACCCTCCAAACCTCTCCTTGGCTCCCCAAGGCCTCTAGGCCTCTGCAGGAGGAGCCACAAAGTGATTCTAGTCAATGTTACAGAGAGCAAGAAATAAGATTAAAGGTCTAAACTTTCTAACTATGGCTCAAAATCCAAATACAATAAAAGAGAAAATGGGTATTTCTGAATACATGAAAAGAAATAAAAATTTTAAAGGAAAAATATAATAAGCCAAGTCAAAAGAGTAATAACAAGCTGGGAAAAAATATTTGGAACTCATACCACAGTAAATAAAGTGCTTAAAATTAAACAAGCAAAAAAGATCAACAATGCAACAGAAAAATAGGCAAGAACAAAGTTTACTGAAAAAAAAATGAAAAAATCCCTTAAACATATGGAAATATGTCCAACCTTGCTTAAAAGAGAGACATGAATTGAAGGAACACTGAGACTTCACACAAGTATCAGCAATCCGGGACAATCTGACACTACTCCTGGGGTGCACACTGGGAGGGAGATACTATCACTCAGCAGTGTTCCTGCCCCAAACCTGAATCTACTCATGAGAACACACTCAGAGCAATTCAGACTGTGGGGCATTTCAGGAAACAATCTGCCTGACCACTTCAAAAACTTGTCATCAGAAAAGAAACAAAGAAACAAAAGCAAAGGAGGACTGTTGATATTTAAGATTACAGGTGTAACAATGAAATAAAACATAATCCTTGATTAGACTCTGCGGTTTAAAAAAATAACCATAAAAGATACTTTTGTTACAACTGGGGAAATCTAACCACTACTAGACCTTAGATACTATTAAATTGCATGGATGTGATCATAGTATTTGTGGTTATGATGGAGAATGTTTTTTTGCTTAGGAGAGGCATATTCAGTTTTGGGTATGAAATGTCATGATGCAAGCCACTTTCAAATGGCTCAGCAAGAGTGTGTATGTATATATGTATATGTAGGTGTATATATGTGTGTGTGTATGTTTATAGAGAGAGAAAAGAAAGGAGCAAAATGTTACAATTCAGGAAGCTAGGAGAAGGGTAAAGAGGTATTCACTGTTCTATTTTCATTTTTTTTTTTACACTTGAAAATTTTTTCAAGGTACAAAGCTGGGGAGGGAAAAACTACACTGACATACCATTTCTTACCTACTGAATGGGGAAAAAAATCCAAAAATCTGACAATACACTCAGTGGGAGAGGGTGTGAAGAAACAGATATTCTCTCATACACTGTTGGTGGGAATGCAAAATTAAAATCCCAGTGAGGGTGAACTGGCAAACTCTAACCAAACTACACATGCATTTATCCTTCCATCTAGCAATCCTACTTCTAAGAGTTTACCATGAAGATATGCCTCCAACAATTTAAGAATATATATGCACAAGATTATTCATTACATTATTCTTTGCAAAATGTTAGAAATTCCCTATATGTCCAAGCATAGAAGAATGGTTGAATAAACTGTGGTACATACATACAATGGACTACTATACAGCTATAAAAAGGAAAAATATTAAGATCTCTACTATTTGATATGAAATGATTTCCAGGATATACGCTTACATTAAAAAAATGCTAAGAAACTAGGTATATGCTTTCTTTTGTATAAGAAATAGGGAAATAGAATATATATTCACATTTGCTTATATCTGCATTTTAAAAAAACTAAAAAGATGCACAAGAAACTAATCAAAGTAATTCCCTTATAGCAGACAGGTAGGGGTAATGGGGTGAATGGTTGGGTATGTAAGACATATCAAGGTATCATACTATTTCTGTCACACCATGGCGATCTCTTCTACTGTCTTAGTAGTAGTTAATTACCCTTTATGTAGTTCACAATTTTTTATATTAAGATATCCCTGTTTAAAGTATTGCTGAGGTTTCTGCCTCTAGACTGGACCCTGATTAATAAAATAATCTACCCAAAACAATAAGTACTTTCTAAAAAAGAGATTACAAGCTTTGGAGTAAAAAAAAATATCGCAGTTGAAATCCAGTCTGTGCCACTTACTGGCTATAGGCCTTGGACTGGTTATTTAACACCTAGAAGCTCAGTTTTCTAGCTGTAAAATAGAGCTGATAGTTCTTTCCCTGTGTGGCTGCTTTAGGGGATAGACGGGCCCACCAGGGTTCTGGGTAGGGACTGAAAAATGGGCCCAGAAATAAAGCCTTTTTGTGCCAGAGTTGCTGTTGGTCGGAAGCTGCTGTTGGATTCTGAAATCAGACTTCCTTAATTCATATCTAAGTTTTGCCTCTTACCAACTGTGTGACCTCAGGTAAATCACTTAACCTCTCTGTGCTTCACTTTCCTCATCTGAAAAAAAAAAGGATATCAACAATACCTACCTCAGAAAGTTGTCATGAGAATTAAATGAGTTTAACACCATTTTACTGCAGTGCCTAGCACAAAGTATACACTCAGAAAACATCATTATTATGCACATATGTGTGTACTGGTTCACAACATAAGATATATTTATTTTGGAGGGTCACAGTCAAAAAAGTGTGAAAACCACTGGCTTTTAAGCTACTTTACTTTGAGTCTTTTCCGACACCTGCAATCAAAGAGTTGTGACTGATACAGAAACTCATTCCAGGGCTGGGGTGTGTGAAGTGACAGTCATCAAAAACCGGAGGTGGCTGAGTTGCAGAAAAGTGGTGGCAGGAATAGGGCATAGGAAGAGGCAGACGCCAGAGGGTGGCAGTGCTGAGCCAAGGTGGGCTCCAGGGGGAGCACACAGCTGGATCAAGAGATAACCTTTCTGCTTACTGTGGACACACTGAGTGAGGCTCAGGGACCAGACCATCCTACAAACTGAACTCTTGATCACTGAAAAAGCCATACTCTCAACCCCACACTAAACTTAGTGTAAGCAAAAGTAAGTCAACATCAAGTCCAGTGGGAGTCAGCACTGACAGAAGAGAGGAACAGACAACTGGGGAAGCCGGACTCCCCAGAGTTTCCTTAACATCTCCCACTACGCACTCTCCTTGCCAAACAGAGGACATAACTTCCCCCATTATCAAGTGCCATCCTTCAGAATACAGCCCTGGGCCAGGGGACAGACTGTCTGCCTCATAATGCTACCAAGACCCCCAGCCAGAAGAACTTGAGAACTCCTGAGAGATAAGTGAGCCTGAGAACTAAGGGATGGGCAGAGCTCTGAGGCTTACTGCTAAGAGACAGACACTGCACAAGTAAGGTCCAAATTCAAGAAACCTGACCATGCTGTCTCCTAGATCTATGTGGAAGCATTCACTGTAGTTCCTCTATTGGCCCTCTACCACCATATACTAGGTATACCTCACATTCATTCTGTAGCCACAGGTTGTGGGAATGCAAGCAGCCAAACCAGGCCTACCGGATAAGTAATGCCACTTACACAAAGCTTATTATAATCCAGCTTCTCATATAGTAACACATTTTTAATCCTTATAGCAGCTCTGTGACGTAGATATAATTCTTACACCCATTATACACATAAGGAAATTTAGGCCAAAAGAAATTGAGAGACTGGCCTAAAGTCACCAAGCTAGTGAACCAGGAGAAATGACCTTACTGGGAGCCCTTGGATTAGTAATGGGACACAGATCTGTACTGAAAAGGTGTGTACATCAGAAGGCACATTATCCAGATGGAGACAGTTTTGGAATTATTCTCATGAGAGGCAGGATGTGTGTGGCTGCCACAGGGCAAAGTGCAGTGTTAGTGCAGATCCACTATCTTCAGTTAACAACCACATCTTCCTTTGGGTAATTGTCCCTCCCCGTACTCCATGTGATCCCAAGCAGCCAATCATAGTACCCTACGAATGACCAGGTGATCAGGCTGGGCCAATCAGAATACACAGTGGTTAATTTAGGAATGACCCAGAGAACCAAGCAGGGCCTTTTCTGAAACTGGGAAATGGATACTATAGGGGAAAATTATTGGTGCTAAACTGAAAATGCAGGAGCCAAGGGCAGCCCAGGCACAAACTGGATCAACTCTTTTAATGCTCATAACAACCTGAATTTTATCGCTTCAGTTTCACAGATAAGGAAATTAAGGTCCACAAGGGTTAGGGTCCCAGTTAGCAAGTGGTGCTGTGAGAATGTGAACTAGTCAGGCAGTTTGACCAGAGAGCCAGCAGCCTTCATGCTAAGCCACAAAGGGAGGTGGCAGAGAGGAAAGGCAAGAGTTTCAGAGGAGCTTGGTGACTTTGTGAAGGAGGAAGGAAGAGGCTGTGTGCACTGGGAGGAAGGCACTCACCATGCAGGCCTGAGCCAGGCTCATGGCCAGGCGGAAACGAGAAGACATGGCCAGAGGCAGCAGGGGGCTGAGGCCAGAGCCCACAGCAGGGTTGATCACACGCAGGCAGCAGACAACAGCTTCTACAACCAGCTCAGTGGTAAAGGCTCGCAGGGTCTGCACTTCTGGAGGAACTGCCCTGAAGAAAAAAGGGGACAAGCTCAGTGTGGGGAGCAGTCAGAAAACAGGGATCAGGCTGGGCTGGGCTGCCTTCTGAAAGCCCTAGTACTGAAGTGGGAATGAGGAGAATGTCCACAGTTCAGACAGGTCCTGGGTGCTGATAAATGTTATTTCCACTCAGAAAACTAAGAACTGAGGATGTCTTCAGGTCCTAAGAACTTGGTGTAGGAGAACAGCCAATGGAAGGGAACTGAGTTGAGAAAATCTCAAATTTCCCTATGCCTAAAGGCTCCAAATTTCTGGGGTCTGGGAAGGGCAAAGGGCCTATTGTGACATGATCTCTGATATTCTGTGTCCCCAGATATCATGTTCCCTTAATGTCAGGGGCCCCTAGATATTGAGCTGCTTGGGTTTTGAGACTATATGTTAGGAGGTTGGGGTTTTCAGAATTTCCAAATGTCAGAATCCCTGAATTCAATATCTCTATATTAGGTGTATGTTAAGACCACCTAGTTTCTAGCAATCCAGAAATCAGGCTCCCTACATGTTGGTATCCTGGGTTTTTAGGGCCCTCGAATGCAGGAGTCCCGTGTGTCTGGGTCACCCAGCATTGAGTCCACCAGCTTTTAGGGTCCTGGGGTTTTAAAATCTCCAGGTGTTGAGAAACTGGGTTTGAACGTTCCCAAATATCCAGTCCCACGATTTTTTTTTGGAGTCCCTGAGTGCTAGGGTCCTGGGGTTTTAAGTTCCCTGGTTCTCAGGATACAGGTGTCTTAAAATCTCCAGGTATCAGGGTCCCAGTGTAGTGAACTCAAGATCCACAGATTTCAGAGTCACGGGTCTTGAAGTTCCAAGGTTTTAACATCTCAAGGTGTCTGGATCCTTGACTTTAGGGTTTACCAAATGTCGAGTTTGGGAGGCCCCTAAATGTCAGTGTGTGTGTGTGTGTACGCGCGCGCGCGTGTGTGTAAGGGGAATGGGGGTTTAGGATCCTGCAAGTTGGATCCCTGGATGTCAAGGTCCAGAGTTTTAAGGTTCCCGGGTGACTGGGTCCGGAGTTTTGGAGTCCCGGATATGGGCATTCCGGGGTGGGCGGGGGCTGTGTCCTTACGTGCCGGCCTGGCGCAGGGAATGGATGAGAATTCGGTCTGCCTCCTCCATGGTGAAGCTATGTCCGGGGCTGGGGCTGGGTCCGGGGCCGGGTCCAAGCAAGCGAACAAGGGAGGCACAGCAGTTGAAACCCAGCTCCGCGCCCCCGTCCAAGGAGTGTCACGGGCTGCCACCGGAGAGCCGGGAAGTGTAGTTTCGACAGCGAGTGCAGTGCGTCCTGGTGCGGATGTGAGCGCAGGCGTGGATTAGCAATGACTGCTAGGAGTTGTAGTTCTTCCGCCTACATTCCAGTGGGCACTTCCAAGCGTGCAACGAAATAATCTTGTGTATGTGCGCGCGCATGTGTGTTTTGTGTGTGTGTGTGTGTGTGTGTGTGTGTGTGTGTGTGTGTTGGGAGAGCGGGACAGAGAGTGACTTCTTGACTCATTCATATAAGGCGGCATTCATCTTCTAGATTGTAGAAGTGCACAGACAAAGGGGCTTTAGCACAAAGGGTCTAGGGTTGAGTCTCAGCTCTTTTGCTCAAGTGTTTAGCTCAGCTTGCTAGATGTGCAATAGTGGGTAAGTTAAATAACTTCCCTGTTTTAGTTTCTTCATCTGTAAAATGGGGCTACAGTAGTCTCCCCACCCTCGTGCATGGTTTCACTTTCTGCTGTTCCAGTTTCCTGAGATTAACAGCCATCAGAAAATATTAAGTGGAAAATTCCAGAAATAAATAATTCATAAGTTTTAAATTGCACGCCATTCTGAGTAGCATGGTGAACTCTTGGGCCACCCATCTCTGTCCCCCTCCCCTTCCCCTTAGCCGCCCACGTGAATCACCCCTTTATATGCTACTTGCCCATTAGTTACTTAGTAGCCTTCTCGTTTTCAGAAACATTGTCGCAGCTTCGTACTGCTTGTGTTCAGGTAACCCTTATTTTATTTAATGATGGCCCCAAAGTGCAAGAGTAGCGATGCTAGGAATTAGTATATGCCAAAAAGAAGGCATAAAGTGTTTGCTTTAAGTGAAAAGGTATGTATGCATAGGAAAAAAAAATAGTCTATCTAGGGTTCAGTACAATCTGTTCTTTCAGTCATACACTGAGGGTGTTGGAATGTACCTCCATGCGTAAGAGGGGAACTACTGTACCTGCTTCCTAGGATTAAAACAGAATTAACTCATGTAAAGCACGTTGTACTATGTGCCTGACACATAATAAAGAAAAGAGTATGTAAGTTGTAGTTACTAAGTATCCATGCATTCAATAAATGCTGTTATACATATGTACACACTCCAAAGAATGATTACACAGTAACCATCCATACAACCATTATTCATTAAAAAGACCACCCTGTCTCCTCTACTCAGTAGTGACATATATGTCATAAATCATAAATTATGGGTAAGTATATGTGGGGCTCAGGTTTGGAACTTTAATCTATTTTTAATTATTGTAGCTTTATAACAAGACAATATCTGATGTGGCAAATCCTCTCATCTTGTTCTTTATCAAATAATTTTGGCTTTTCTAGGTCCTTGTATATCGATATACATTTTAGAATCATTTTGTCAAATTCCATGAAAAAGACTTTTGAGATTTTGTTTGAGATTGCATTAAATCTCTAGATCATTTTGGGAAGAATTGACATCTTCACAATTTTGACTATTTCAATTAGTTAATTTAATATATCTGTCCACATATTTTGGTTCTCTTTAATAACTTGATAACATCTGATAATTTTTTGCATGGAGCTCTCACATGTATATTGTGTTAGATCTATTCCTATGTACTTCAAATTTCAGATAGTATTGGAAAAATTATATCATTTTTCTCATTCTAATTTCTGACTGTTTTGTGCTGGTATATATTTTGTAAAAATATGTTTTAATCCAGTGCCTATTCTGTTGCCAGGCTTTGATCCACCAATGTCCCATCTTTGCCCCTGCTCACCCTCCCTTGTTATGGCTCCGCCCTGTGGCCTTAATCCCTCCAAAGCTGGGTAAAGCGAGGGGGGCTGTTTGCAGATGGCACTTCAACCTCGAAAGGATGATGTCGGCATCTGAAGGCCAGAAAGGTGAGAGCAGCCTTCTACCCCTGTAGACCCTTTGAGCAAGCCTGGGTTCTGCTCTACCCCTGGTCCCTCTGATTCACCCACTGCCCACCAGGACCCCACCCTTGGAGAACCACCAGGTGACTAGAATCACCCTGTTCTCATCCCAGCCAGCCCCAAACACAGCCTTACCTCCAACCTGTGAAGCTCAGCCTCACCTAGACACTGCCCTCTATGGCCTCCAGTCCCCATCTACTGCCATGGTTCCTAGCTGAAACCCACCCCCAATTCTGGCCCTGACCCCTATCCTACCGCCCACCCATCTTCAGTTCCAAAGCTATCCCCAAACTTAATCCTAACACAAACCTTACCAACCAGATGGCAAACCCCTGTTAGAGTCCAAACCCCAACCTGGATACAGACTTTACCATGAGTCACCTAACCTCAACCCCCACCCCTGGTTGTCAATACTGTTAGTGAGTGCTTCCCTGACTTTCCAGAAAGAGTGCAGATCCATTTTTAAAGGCAAAAGAAATTGGAAAGAGAGAACACACATTTAATGATGGTGGTAAGTTGTTAGGGCTTGCAGTAAGAGTCTTCCTGGGTTTGACTACCAATACAGCCACTGCATCAAATGACTTAACCTCTCTTTTTACATCAGTTTTCTCACCTGCAAAATGGGAATATTTGCTATGTGCCAGACAGTCTTCCAAATACCGGACTAATTTAATCCTCACAACAACCCTATAATGTAGGTTCTCTTATTATCACCCCATTATACAGATAAGGAAATTGATGCTCAGAGGGGTTATGTAGCTATCCCAAGGCCGCACACAGCTAGCTACCAAGTGGCAAAATCAGGATTTAAACTCAGAGAGCTTCTTTCCTCCAAAGCTGGGGCTCTTAATTTTTTTTAAGATTTTATTTATTTATTTTTAGAAATAGGGGAAGGAAGGGAGAAGGAGAGGGAGAGAAACATCAGATAGAGCTGGCAACCTTTGGCTTTGAGGGATGACACTCAATCAAATGAGCCATGCCAGTCAGGGCTAAAACTGGGGCTCTTAACCAGGTCAATCTACTGCCTCTTAGGGGCTGAAACAAGGCCATGGGAATCGAGAATGGCCTTAGCTAAAACCTCGGTGCAAAACTCTGATCCCATCCAAACTTAACTTGGGCCCCAACTTTGATCCTAATTCTAATCCCAGCTCATTCAAATACCTAGTCCTAACCCTAAATCGTAACTCAAGCACACTCCACTCCCACCTGTATTTAAACCCAACCCAAAAATCCACTCATTGAATTTAACCCTAAATCTGTCTCCCGCTATAAACTTAATGGCACCCCATGCCAATTTAAACTCTACCCCCAAGTCTAACACCAAAGCCTACTTCACTTGGAAACGTAATCTCGCCCTCCCCTATAAACTCTCACTCTACCTGCAATCAATTCCAATACTAACTCTTACCCCCCCCAATCCTTAACTCTGTTACCCCTAACTTTTCCTAATTTTACATGCTTTTTTCTCCTTCCCTCAGACAAAGAGATGGGATCAGGGAAGAGGCAGCCATGATTGCCCCAATACCCTGTCCCTCCACAGTTGATTTCTTCACACAGATATCACCCCAGAGCCCAGTACAGCCAATGAGGCAGGCCCTGGTCCCAAATGGGGGCTGAAACCTGGGCCTCCAGAATCAGGAGGTGAAATCAGTGAGGCATCAGGTCTGGGAACCCCTAAGCGAAGGACTCAGCACAGTAAGCACAAGACAGTGGCAGTGGCCAGTGCCCAGCGGTCACCCCGGGCTCTCTTCTGCCTCACCCTGGCCAACCCTCTGCGGCAATCCTGCATCAGCATTGTGGAGTGGAAGCATCCTGCAAGGCCAGGGGCAGGCCTCAGGGGTGAGGGTCACCAAGGTACCAAGAGTCAAGGATTGGGTCACAGCTGGAATGAAGGAGGGCTAAGGTCACCCAGCATCAAGAGTCAAGTACTGGCTTCAAGGGGGAGTTGAGAAAAGTGAAGGTCAGTCACTAAGGGTTCAAGAGTCAAGGAATAAATTACAGCAAGGTTTGAGGATGACTAAGTTTTCCAGGGTGGTCAGAATCAAGGCCTTGGTCTGAGCAGAGGCTGGGACTGTCAGGGCTGGTCACCTTGGGATCAAGGGTAAGCATTGGGTGGGGAGGGCCCCAAGGGAATGTGGGGGTTCTGAGGCTGCTTTGCATGGGTCCTTGACTGTATCCACCTGAGGCCCTTCGACATCCTCATCCTGCTGACCATCTTTGCCAACTGCGTGGCCCTGGGAGTCTACATTCCCTTCCCAGAAGACGACTCCAACACTGCCAACCACAACCTGGTAAGGCTAGCCCCACCCTGACCCCCCCCCCTCAGATACAGACCCAATAGAACCACACCTCAAGCCTTCTAGCAAGGCCCCACCCTTCTCTGATCCAGAAGACTCATCCCTGCCAGCCCCACGCTCTGTCCTGGCTACACCATATACCCCACCCCAGCCACCCTCAATTCTCAGCCCAAATAACTCCCCAATCCCCGGCTCCGTCCCCAGGAGCAGGTGGAGTACGTATTCCTGGTGATATTCACTGTGGAGACCGTGCTCAAGATCGTGGCCTATGGGCTGGTGCTTCATCCAAGCGCTTACATCCGCAATGGCTGGAACCTACTCGATTTCATCATTGTTGTGGTCGGGTGCGTGTCTGCAGGGGACACTCCTACTCTAGTTCAACTTCCCACTCCAGGCCCGCTGAATTCGGAGCTCAGGGAAGTGACCGCTTTAAACTGCCCCCATTCGGCAATAAGAATAAGGAATATTAACATATCTTGTCTATTTGCATTTCCGGTTAGAGACTTGTGCTTTCCTGAGGAAAGGAGAGGGATGGGAGGGGGTGCCAAGGCCTCACCCCCTGCCTCATCCCTTGCCCCCCCATCAGGTTGTTCAGCGTGCTGCTGGAGCAGGGCCCCGGGCGGCCTGGAGATGCTCCACACACTGCGGGGAAGCCGGGGGGCTTCGATGTGAAGGCGTTGAGAGCATTTCGGGTGTTGCGGCCACTGAGGCTGGTGTCTGGGGTCCCGAGTGAGTGTAACGCACCCCCAACGTTGGAGGTAGGGGAGGGGAGCGGGAGGAGGACTGAATGGATCCCACACTTACTTTACCCGGCCCTTGCTCTCTGCAGGCCTGCACATAGTGCTCAATTCCATCATGAAGGCTCTGGTGCCGCTTCTGCACATCGCACTGCTCGTGCTCTTCGTCATCATTATTTATGCCATCATCGGGCTCGAGCTGTTCCTCGGACGCATGCACAGGACGTGCTACTTCCTGGGCTCTGGTCAGCTAACCTACCCCTCCCAGGACAGGACACGCCCCCTCCACTGGCTCCTTGGCCACACCCTGTTCTCAAGGAAACCCCAATTCGCAACGCTTCACTCTCCGGCTCAGGCTCAACCTCTGATAAATGACCCCTATCCTTACATTCAAGACTCCGCCCTCAATCCCAGACTACAACCACCCCTCTCGCTAGTAGCTCCTCCCTATCACAAGACTCTACCTTCCAGTCAAGCGCCCCTGCCCCTCACTTAAGATTCCATCCTCCAGGACTGGCCCCATATACCCCGCCCTTTCATCAGGACTCCCAAGCCTTGCCTCCACCCCCTTTTTAAAAGACCCTTCAAAATTCACAAGACGCTGCCCTCAGGTTGATGCCTCATTCTTATTTACAAAATTCTACCCCAGGATTTACAGTCCCACTCCCCAGATCCCTGCAGTAGGGACTCAGCTTCCCAGTGGTTCAGAATCCTGACCTGGCAGAGTCAAGGGCTAAGGGTTGTCCTTGATTTAGAAATATCTAGGTCCCTGAGCTGAACTTCCCAGGCGGACAGAGCTACAGGGGTGGCTGTGAATGCGGTGGGTGTGTCTGAGCCCAGAGCTCCAGTTTTCCCGCAGAAGTGGAAGCAGAAGAAGATCCATCGCCCTGTACGTCTTCCGGCTCAGGACGTTTGTGCATGCTGAACCAGACGGAGTGCCGCGGGCGCTGGGCAGGGCCCAACGGAGGCATTACTAACTTTGACAACTTCTTCTTCGCCATGCTGACAGTCTTCCAGTGTGTCACCATGGAAGGCTGGACTGATGTGCTCTACTGGGTGAGGTGGGAGGCAGGCACACATGTCGTAGGCTACACCTGTTTTTCTTTCCTGAGTTCAGGCTGGAGTGTCTGCATATCCTGAGGGATGCATACCCTCTCTCTCCCCAGATGCAGGATGCCATGGGGTATGAGCTGCCCTGGGTGTATTTTGTGAGTCTTGTCATCTTTGGGTCCTTCTTCGTCCTCAACCTTGTACTTGGCGTCCTGAGTGGGTGAGGAGCCTAGACACTCCCCTCATCCTGACCCTCAGCCTCTGCCTCGTTTTGAAAATTTTTGTCAAACTCCTAAGCAATCTTCAAAACCCATCTGAAACAACCCTTCACTCATTCACTCAACATTGAACATCTCCTGTATACAAAGCACCATTTTAGAAAAGGAACAAGAGACAAAATCCCTGCCTTCCTGGATATTACATTTTGAGGGGGGAGGAGAGAGAGACTATAGCAACATACACAATAAATAATATACATGTAGTGTTCTATGTGGAATATGTGCTATGGAAAGAAAGGAAGGGTAAAAATAAGAATGTGAAGGCTTCTGGGCAAGATGGCAGAACGGGGGGGAAACATGTATATTAATTTTGAACAAATCTACAATTATATTTTGGATTTATGTCACATTTGCAAAAGTTGCAGCTGAAGGCACATTAATTGGTCTTATGCCTTTCTCTAGTATGTATTATTGTGGATAATAAAAACATGTTTGCAAAGGCAAAAAAAAATAGGAAAGGGGAGATCTTGCCGTTTTAAACAGGGAGTCAGGACAGGCCTCCTCTGGAAGGTGTTATTGGAATAAAAATATGAAAGAGTTAAGAGAATGATCCATGTGGCTATCTGAGGAAAGAGTGCCCCACACAAAGGGAACAGACAGTGTAAAGGCTCCAAAGCAAGAATGTGCTTGGCATATTCAAAGAACAGCAAAGAGGCCAGTGTAGCTGGAATGGGGAAGGTGAAAGAGCCAAGGTTGTTCCTCTACCTCGCCATCTATCCTCCTTCTTCAGGGAGTTCTCCAAGGAGAGAGAGAAGGCAAAAGCACGAGGGGACTTCCAGAAGCTGAGGGAGAAACAGCAGTTAGAGGATGACCTGAGGGGCTACTTGGACTGGATCACGCAGGCAGAGGAGCTGGACATTGAAGACCCCTCAGCTGATGGCAACTTTGGTTCTGTGGCTGAAGAGGGCAGGGCTGGCAACCGTAGGCAACCCCAATCTGGCCCATTCCCTGCTCCACACAGGCATCAAATATGGCCTGCCCTCCAGAGACCCAATCACCACCTGCAACAACTCTTGGCCCAGCCCTCAGTTGTGGCCTAGGATACAGAACCCAGACCTGGAACCAGATCCCCTTCCCAACTGTACCCAGAACAAAGATTCCAAGTAACCCACCCCCACACACACTCATAGCCCTAACCCTGCCTCAGGCTATGCTCTGCAACTGTCCTCTCTATCCCCACAGGGCCACAACTGGAAGAGCTGACCAATAGGAGACGTGGACATCTGCACTGGTTCAGTCACTCCACCCGCTCCACACACTCCACCAGCAGCCATGGTGGGGGTCCATCCAGGTTTGGGAGGGGGGCAAGATGGGTAGGAAGAAGAGAAAACCAAGGGTAGAAACCAGGGGTCTTCATGTGCTAACCTCTGTTCCCACTCTGCCCAAAGCCAGCCTGCCAGCCAGTGACACTGCTTCGATGGCAGAGACTCCAGGAGATGAGGAAGAGGAAGAGGGGGCTCTGGCCAGTTGTACACACTGCCTGTGAGGGCCCCAAGTCCTTGCCCCTGACTCAGCCAGAAAAAAAACAGTCCAGACTCTCACTCCAGTGTTTACTTTAGCTTCCAACCTAGACCTCAGCCCCTAACCTCTGACACCAGCCACTGACAGCTCCTTGACCCCTATGACACCTCCCATCCCCCTCTTTTTCAGAAGCAAGATCATGAAAACCAGGGTCTGGTAAGTTGGGGAAGTTATGTGACTCCTGGACTCCATGACATTATGAGCCCCACCTGAGTCCCCCAGGACAGGGTAAGGTAGGTGATCTCAGCCAGTGGGTTCTCCTTTCCTCCCAGCCGCAGCCTCCGTCGAGCCAACCGGGGCCTTAGGGCATGCTGCCGGCGGGCTGTGAAGTCCAATGCCTGTTACTGGGCTGTGCTGCTGCTCGTCTTCCTCAACACACTGACCATCGCCTCAGAGCACCATGGGCAGCCCGTATGGCTCACCCAGACCCAGGGTGCGCCACTCCCACAGCCTGCCAGTCCTCTCCCCCAGCCTCTAATTCCCTCCACCTCAGAAGCTCCAATGCAGGATCCCTCAGGTGCCTCAGACCCCCAGACACTGCCTTCAATGCAAGTAAATGCAGGAACCTTAGCCAGTCCCATCCCACCTTGTAACTTATACTTATATAGTACTTTCTGTGTGTGTGTCAAGCTCTGTTCTCAGTGCTTTACATGAACTAACTCAACTTCTCTACACCACAACATTATGGAAATTAATTACTAGAGTACTGAGTACTGAGTACCAAGGTACCAAAGAGTTAAGTGACTAACCCCAGGGCTCAGGTAGTGAGTGACAAATCCAGGCAGCCTAGCTCCAGAGTCCATGCTCTTAACACCACACTGGAAAAGTTAACCCCTCTGTGCTTCAATTTCCCCATTTTGTAAAATGGGGCTAGTAATAGTATTCACTTTGTGAGGTGGGTAGGAGGATTAAATTAAAGTGAAAAGTGTTTATAACATTGCCTGGCCTACATGAAGCTAAAACTTTATGAGTGATAGCCCTTACTAGTATTCATTTTAATCTCAACCCCAACCTTACTGCTGAGCACACTTCTAACCTCAATCTTCAAACCAGCCCCTGTCCTAACTAAAACCCAGACTCTAAGTCTACCCTTGAATTGGAGCTTTTCCAAACTCATGGAGGTGGACTGAGGCCCCACCCCAAATCTTCCCCTCACCCCAGCTCCAAACCCCTCAAAACCTCAACCACTCTGACCTACAAATTCATCCCTATCCCTAACCCTAGCCCCACCCCAGCCTGTCTAGTCTGACACCATCTACCCCAGGTCACCCCATGAACCTATCTTCCCACATGTCACCATGGAAACTGGCCAACCCCTCCCCCTCTCCCTACAGAGTATGCCAACAAAGTGTTGCTCTGTCTGTTCACGGTGGAGATGCTTCTCAAATTGTATGGTCTGGGCCCCTCCGCCTATGTTTACTCCTTCTTCAACCGCTTTGACTGCTTCGTGGTCTGTGGGGGCATCCTGGAGACCACACTGGTGGAAGTGGGAGCCATGCAGCCCCTGGGCATCTCAGTGCTCCGATGTGTGAGACTCCTCAGGATCTTTAAGGTCACCAGGTGTGTGTGTGTGTGTGTGTGTGTGTGTGTGTGTGTGCATGCACGCGCGTAGGGAGGAGAACTGGAGCCCCAAACATAGACCCCAACAGTCCCCACCCCAGCTCCAGTAATAACTTTATCCATATTCCCATTTAATTTGGAAATATCCATTGAGTGCCTACTGTGTGCCAGGCATCTTTCCAAGCCCCAGAGAAACACCAGGAATAAAAGCAGACACAAGTTTCTGCCTTCATGAAGATTCAAGTTCAGTGGGGAGATATCTACTCCATTTCAATCCTGTTCTTCAGCTTCAACCCTGTCTCTGAACTCAACTCCATACTCATGCCCAACCCAAACCCCATCCCCAACCCTCGAGTTTAACATCATCTCTAGCCCAACCCCCAACAACTTGTCATCCACAAGCCCATTTACAACCCCACCATCCAATCCCAACCATATCTCCAACCTCATCCCTAACTCACAGGCTCATACTCATCACTAACCACTAACCATTCTTAACTCCTAACCATCAGGTTATCTCCAACCACAACCCTGTTCCTAGCCCCAAGCCCAATCTTATCGCCATCTTCTCCTCTTTCCCAGACCTCAACCCCAACTTTATTCCCAACTCGATCATCTATAGCTCCAAATACCCCCCAACCCCTAACCCCAACCTCAACCCCAGTTGCAATTTGTAATCCCAACCCCAGTCCTGATCCCAACCTAAAACCCAATTCTAGCTCCATCAATTTTCATTTATCCTCTATCCTAACTGCACCTCCCATTGCTCCTCTA